ACCCTTACCCCTAATTCTCCTGTCTCTGGCTTTGATATTACATTTGTGTAGGATAAGAACTTGTTAACTGCAGAGCCCTGTGGAGCATGTCTGAGCAGAAGTGGAGGAGCTGCCTGGGAACAGTGTTAACTGCACAGGGTCAGCAGCCCCACTGTGGAGGCAGAGACACCACCACATGTCCACACACCATGCATGGGGAATGCCAGGATCGAGCCACACACCCCGTCAGCTGTTGAGGAAGTGTATAAGGGAAGGGCATGGACTGTGTGGGAACACAGGGGAAGAGCAAAACCACAGGGAGGCAAAGGCAGCAGGAACAATCCCGGAACTAGGCAAGAGATTTGAAGTGACTGGACAGAATCATGGATGGAGGAATGACTTGTCATGAGCCCCCGTGTGTTCTTCCTGGGGAGAAGGCTGAAAAGCCAAGATACACCAGGAGTAAAATGTTAAGGCAGCCCCCAGCACTCCAAGAAGCCAGCAAGGCAGTCCCTGCTGAAACACCATCATGGAAATGGTTGCCCAGAATAGCCAGTGGCTGCTCACTGCAGAGGGGTTGGACTAGTTGACCTTTAAAAGGTCCTTTGATGACCTTTAAAGGTCCCTTCCAACTCAAACTATTCTATGATGATTCTAAATACCCAAAAAACAGCATGTGAAGGATTTCTGTAGCACCTTCCTCAAACCTTGTCACTGGTTATGGATAAGGAAGGATAAGGAATGGTTTGGAAAGTGTAATGACACTGCTCAAACTTCTGATGGCCACACTGCATGTCTTGGAAACGACACTGTCCACCAGCTAAAGCTCTCTGGCATCATGCCTGGCACCCTGGGCTGGGAGGCAGAACAGGCTGAGCAGCCGCCCTTGGCAGGAACATCCCAGGGCCACGTTGCCTGTGGACAGCCCTGTGTCCCTGGAAAAGCCACTGTGGATGTGAGGGAGGCCAGGTAGAGGCATTTGGGTGATGCACTTGGGTTCACCTGACTGTGCTTTTCAAAGGTGTCCCAAGGGGACACCCCAGGGATGTGGGCACTCAGGTCCCATGCCAGCCCCAGGCTCCTGCACAGGACAGCTGGCACAGCAACTGTCACCTCTTGTCCCTAGATGGGAGTGGCAGCTCTGTACTGGTTTGCCAGCCCTTGCTATGGTTCCTTTGGGCTGTAGCATCCAGGCTCTGCTCGTGTGTGTCTGAGGGTGTTTCACCTGCAGTGGGTGTGCTGGACGGGTGCACACTGTCCACTCACAGCTGGTGATCCCCGTGAGTCCCTTCCAGCTCGGGATATTTTATGGTAAGCAAGCGCTGCTCGATTCCCTGAGCCTCGAGAGGTGCTCGGGAGGTTCCATTACAACGGGTCCCATTTTCCCGGCTGCGGTTGTTTCTGAACTGTGAACTCCCCCAGCTGGCGATGGCTCGATATTGCCACCAACCCCGTCCCACGCCAGGCTGGGGGTGTGCGGGCCGGGGCGAGGGGTGTCCGCGGGGCACGCCTGGGGCAGGCACCGAGCGAGCGGTGACACCGCGGTCACCCTCACCTGCGACAGGACACACGGTCAGCACTGCTCTGCAGGTGCCATCGCTGGGCGGGGTTTGTTGCTCTCATGGAGTCTGAGCATCGTGGGATGATGGAAGGGAATGTGGGAAGAGCCAACTCCCTGTTGGCTTAATGCTCAATCAATATCCATGAAGGAAAAACACACTCAGACCATTTTTGACTTCAGGAGGACACAGCCACAAAACCTGGCCTGTGCCACATGTTTCAGGTCACTTGCACATTCTTCTTCAGACATCAGAGCTTACAAAACAGGTCACTGACTATCCCCGGTGGAGCTACAGGAGAGCTGGACTGGAGCCTTGGACAAGGGCATGGAGTGACGGGACAAGGGGGAATGGCTTCCCACTGCCAGAGGCCAGGGATGGACAGAATACTTCCCTAGTGGTGAGACATAGGTTGCCCAGAGAAGCTGGGGTTGCCCCATCCCTGGAAGTGTCCAAGGCCAGGTTGGATGGGGCTTGGAGCAAGTTGGGCTAGTGGAAGGTGTCCCTGCCCAGGGCAGGGGGTGGAGCTGGATGGGTTTTAAGGTCCATCCCATTGTAAATCTTTCTGTGATTCTATGACTGTATGATTCTATCCCATCATGTCACTGCCATCCAGTAAGCAAATACAACGTGGTTGGGGTGTGAGGCCACACCACACTTACCTTGAGGCAGAGAGCCCTGCACCACTGGGGTTGCTGAGACTGTCAGAGGGGAACACTGCCAGCATAATGTCTCCAAGAGCAGGGAGCAGGTGTGGGAGGTGGGAATAGCCTTTTGTCAGCAAAAAGAACTGCAGGTTGCACGTCAGCAGGTGTCGTGTTCAGTTTCTCTGTGACAACTAAGAAGTGCTTGGAAATTGGCCTCAAGGGTCAGTCTGGAAAAAAAGGTGGGATGCTGCATGTTTCAGTGTGTGCAAAGAGGAAAGCCTGGAGCACCTGGTGACCTCCAAGAGGGAGGGAGGAAGCAGAGGGAAACAAGCATGTATACTTGTCCAAGGGAGGTGGATGAGGAGAGCAGTGCTGGGCGGTGGGTGAACATCTCTGGGTGGACCATGAGGTACCTTACTGGGACACTCAAAACCATGCCCAATTAGCCAGGGCTTCCTGTGGTGCTGCAGCAAGCAGAGGTCTGGCAGGGGGTTGGGAGCACTTGGGGCACTACCAGAAGAGCCCCCACAGCTGCCTCTGCTGTGGGTCCCTGCTTGCTCCTCCAACCCACCCTCAGACACCCCGTGGCTGCCTCCCCACCCCTCCTTCGCCGACCCCACAAAAAGGCCAGGCCCAGGCAATTGTGTACAAAACCTGAAATAGTTTTACTTTGCTTTCTTTTTTTTTTTTTTTTTTTTTTTTTCCTTCTTTTTTTAAACTTTGCTCTAGGTTTACTTAAGATTTTCGTGAAGTCGATACAAGAGCATTTGATATGAATCGGTAAATAAAACACCGTCATAGATAGATAGCCACGATAAACTTTGTTAGAAATGTACATGTCGCGAAAAAATAATAATACTAATAATAATAATAATCATAATCATAATAAAAAAAGCCGGCGCGACGCCTAGGCCGGCGCGGCCCTGGTGGCCCTGGCGGTGGCCCCGGTGGCCCTGGCGGTGGCCCCGGTGGCCCTGTGCCACGGCGGCGGGTGGCTCTGGTTCCCCGCAGGCGCCGCGCCCCGGTAATGTGTGTATATAAACAAAGCCCATAAGAAATGTACAAATATAAAAAGCTACAAACATTAATAAATTACATCGTCACAAAACACGGAAACACTCCACAAGGTGCTAGTAAAATAACTGTCTCCCTCCTCGTACAAGAAGTTACGCAAAGAGCTGGTACCGGCGGGCGGCGCCCGGAGAGACCCTCCCCGTATAAAAACCCGGCGGTGGTTATTCCAAAAGCTATGTACAAGCTACATTCTAGGAAAAGGGGGGCCCGGGAACGCGGCGGGGTGGCAGAGGGGTGCCTGAGAAACGCGCCCGCCGCCTCCCAGCCCGGCGCCTCGGCCCCGCGGTCCCCGCCCGCCACGAGGCCTTGCGGCCCCTTCCCGCTCTCCCGACTCTGCCGCCACACCGGCCACGCCGCCCGCTCTGCTCGGAGCCGGGCGGGAAGGGGGCCCAAGGCCCGGAGCCGGGTCGGTGCCGGTGCCGGAGCGGGGGGACCGACACACTCCTCGGTGGCCGAGATTAGTATTAACTTTTTGCGGCTAGTCGCTCTCAGCACTCTGAGAAAGGACATCTATATTAAAAAATATTTATAGCAGGATTCTGTACAGTCCGACCGCTGAAAGTTAAAGGGATTATTGTGGTGGGGGCCCAGAGCTGGGTGGCAGTGTCCCCAGAGCCACTAGAGCAGCAGCTTCCCATTCCGGTGGATCTTCAGGATCTTGCCGAGCCGCTGCTTGGCCGTGGCCATCCCCTTCTTCGTGCGCTTCCCTGGAAGGAGAGCAGGGTCAGGGTGAGGGCCTGCACCTGCCCCATACCACCCCACAGGCACCGACCTTCTGGCTGCCTCCTGCCCCATGGCCCTGCTGACAGCCCTGCCCAGGACCTTCAAGGACACCCGCCAGGACCCCCGAGGCGTGAGGGGCTCAGCAAGGAACACAGTCCCTGGAGAACCAACCCTGCCACAGTGAGGGCACACTGCCCACCCACCCCCAGGAACCCGTCTCTGCTGGGCACCCTCCTGCCTCTGCAGTGCCAGCCCTGCTGCCCTGTGTCCTCACCTGCCCTGGCTCACTGCTCATGGTCACCTGTTTGCCCACAGGGTGACATTCGAACCCTGCCACACCAGTGCCATCCCGCTCCTCAGGGAGAGGCTGCACAAACACAAACCCACACACACACAAAAACACACAGACACACACACAGACACACACACAGACACACACACACACAGACACATACACAAACACACACAGACACACAAACACAGACAGACACAGACACGCACACACACACACAAACACACACACACACACAAACACACAGACACAGAAACACACAGACAGAAACACACACAGACACAGAAACACACAGACACACAAACACACAGACACACAAACACACAGACACACACACAGACATACACAAACACACACAAACACACAGACACATGCACACAGACATACACAAACACACAGACACACACACAGACATACACAAACACACACAGACACACAAACACAGAGACAAAGGCACAGACACACACACACACACACAAACATACACAGACACACAGACACAAACACACACAGACACAAACACACAGATACAGAAACACAGAGACACAAACGCTCACGCACGCACACACACAGAGACACAAACACAGACACATAGAACCACACACACGGAAACACAGACACACAAACACACACACAGACACAACACACACACACATAAACACATACATACACAAACACACACACACACAGACACATAAACGCATACACACACACACACAGACACACAAACACATACACGAACACACACACACACAGACACACAAACACATACACGAACACACACACACACAGAGCTCCTTGCACCTGCAGGCTCCTCAGGGATCTCTGGGCTCCTCTCTGATTTCCTCTACGGGAAACATGTGGCACAGGGATCCTCAGCTCACATGCCACCACAGGTCCCGGGACAAGCACTGCCTTGAGGATGCCTGGTCCCTCACTCACCACATTGAGACCAACCCACATACCACCACATCTCCATATTTCTCCTTGCCCTCTCTTCCTGCAGTGCCAGACACACCACCTGCATCCAGCCTCACCAGAAGGATGCTGGAAACACACACACAGACACACATGGATCCTGCAGATCCAGACTAGCACCAAGGCACTCCCACACACCCCAGGTGGACGTCACTCCCTGTCCTCATCCTGATGAGGACACCACCACCACCAGGAGCCCCAGCAATGTGGTTAAGTGAGCTCTGTGCTCCCTGTGTGCTGCTCCTGGAACTGGAGCCGCTCCTCAGCTCTCCCCAGCTACCACCATACAGCCAGGAACTGCCCCAGCACTGCTGGGCACAAACCCAGGCAACCTCTCCCCTTCCCACTGATCTGCCACAGGGTCAGTCAAGTGCGGTGCCTGCAGGGACTCAGCTCCTCTCCACTGGTCCCAGGTGCTTTAAGTGCCCCAGATTTAAAGACTGTGGTGGTGTGGGTGACACTTCCCACAAGAAGTTTCCTCATTTCTCTTCCTTTCACATCACTCTGTAAGACTGAGAGACCTTTCCTGAGGAGGTCCTAGAACTCCCTGGTTCTGCTTCATCCCACCATTTCCTTCCATAGTGCCTTCATTCCAAGTGATGCCCAACCTGGTGGTCCCCACACTCAGTACTCTCCTGTGCTCCATGCAGAGATGCTTTGCAGTCCCCTCAGAGCCTTCAGCTGTCCTAAGACTCTGCACAGGAAGACCTACCTGATGGTGCTCCACTCCCTGCCACATCAGCCTCTCCTCTCTTGGCAATGACCCCTTCCCTCCTTTGAGGGTGGGATCCACATGCCTGGCCAGGCTCCCTGCACAACACCCTGCTGTGCTGGCCAGCTCACCAGCCACACTGGGGGTTGGCTCCATCAGCATCTGGATCTGATGGATCATCTTCCCACCACATCTTCCACTACCTTGGAACTGTTTCCCTAATGCTACCATTTCAACACAAAGGCAGAATTCCAGGCAAACACGTTCCTTCCACTCTGGCTCTGCAGAAAGCCACAAATACTACTAGCTCCTGGCAGAACCCCAGCACCTACCACAGGCTATACTCATCCTCCTTTATGGCCCATCCAAGTTGCCAGGATACCTTCCACTTCCTCTATCTGCTCCACTCAAAAACAGGGAATTCAGAAAACATGTACCACATTGCCTCACATCAGGGTCTTTCCCAGTGGGATCACACAGAACCTTCACACTACGCAGCGCCTGTCCCACACTCCTGCCTCAGCCACACCTCCTGATCCAAGTTCAAGCAGAGAACAGGAGGTCCTAGCCCAGATCTGGGCACAGCCTCAGCTTTGTCACACTTTCCCTATGGCAGACAACGAGAGACCTCTTCCTGTAACCTGTGTTACTCCCAAGGTTTGCTATTCCTCTGCTCCTTTGAGGCAACTCTCCAGAGAGATCTGCAGTGTGCCCTGCCTCACACAGCCTGGGAGGAGAGTCCTCAAGTACAGTCAGCACAGGGTGGTGTACAACCCCTGCCACCACCACAGTGCTGCCCTACTCTGAACAGAACAGTCTCCTCTTTCCCCAGACAAGGCTTTGCCAGACAGCCTGGACTGGGATGTGACACTGTGGGTGTTCCTCACGAGCTCAGGCCATGCTCAGCAGTGCTCCTGACATGGGATGCCTCACACCCTGCAACCAACAGCCCAGGAGCAAAACACCTCTTTGGCCCCCAGTGCCAGGACAGCCGAGGCCATGGGCCCTATCTCTGACTGGATCTGACCTGCATCCAAACGTCTGCACTTCTGCATCCCCACGGCACACACGGCATGTGAAGGCCCTGCAAAAGGCACGGGTTACATGATGGCTTCACCCTTCCCCACTCCTGCACCACAACCCCCGGCGTTTCCTGGTACCTTTGGCAGAGGCATTGTTCTGCGAGGATGAAGAGGGTCTCCTCTGTGTTAGGAAAACACCGGGTGCCATCGGCTGCGATCCCCTGTTAGGCTGGGCGACCCCAAAGGTGCTGGCCCCTGCGGTGTACTCGTGATCTGTGAGGCTGCTGGCCTGTGACTCCAGCTTCGGCTCGGGCGAGCTGCCTTCCTGAGCCGCTTTGCTTGCGTTGGGGGCTGACAGCTTCTTTTTGGTATTTTTTTTCTTCTTGCCTTTTTGTTCCTCCTTTAAAATGACAAAGATGAAGCTCAGATTAATCCCCAGAAGACCTTTAGCTAGGGCAAGGGCCAGCGGCGTTGCTTAGGGTGCTGATACAACGAAACCCCGCGGAGTTGGCCACGGGCAAGCGCTCGGGGGCTGTTCCGACACCGTCTCGCTCACAGCTGCACACACACGTTTGCCTCTCGTGCCTCTACGTCCACGCCCCAGGCAGAGCCTCCTCGTTCGTTACCGCTGCGGCGAGCGGAGCCAGCCAGGGCCACACCGACACTGCCCTGGCACGGCAGCGCGGGTCGGCATGAGCAAAGCTTTCCATCTTCCACAAAAACTGGCACCTCCTATCTTCAGGGATCTTCACACCCTTTCACAACAGCATGGAGGGTATTAAACATCCCACTGATTCAGCCTCTGCTTCCCGCTAGGACACACACGTCATCTCCTGACCTGTAACTGCACCTGGACATGTGCACCATGAGGACAGCAGTCTATCACCGTCCTGAGTCCCTTGCTTACTTTCAGATTCTTCTTGATGATACCCTGCCACCATCCTCAAAGCTCTTCTACTCAACAGTCTACATCGCAGAAGCCCAAAGCCACCACAACCTGCATCTCCATCAACTTCCCGAGGTGCCTCACCAACCTTCCTCCAGTAGACTTTGTCACCTTAGCACCTCCTCATGTCACCTATCCGGGGCCTATCTGACCCCTTCAGAGACTGGACACCTGCCAACACCCAAAGTGCCCCAGTACCTTTGCTAAACTGGCCCCTAACTACCCACAGTTCACCAAATCTTTGGAAGCAAATCCTGACACTTCCCAGCAGCTGGTCTGCACAGACAGGCAATCACACCAGTCAGGCTCTCAAATACACACCAAATACACTCCTTTGGGACAACCTCCTCCTATTCTACCCTGGTAGCCCTTCTCGCTCCCTCACCCCTCCCTGCGCTTTTCCTCTGTCCCTTGTCACCCTGTGGCGTGCTCAGGTGTGTTGTGACACTGTTGGGCTTTGATCCCGTTTATTACCCTGAGACTGCTGAGCCTTGTGTCCCTGGCATGAGCAAACACTGTGGAGGGCTGGCACTGCGCTGCACTCGGGCACAGCTCTGCTGGGGGACAGGGCTCTCCTCCCCTGACAGCTCCTACTGCCCAAGCAGTCTCTCACCTGCTGTGACAACTTGGCGGCGGCAGCGGCGAGCCCGGTTTCGATGGAGGCGACTCTCGTGCCCTCTCGCACCGGCCTGTCCTGTCGAGGCACTGAGGGGCCAACTCGTGCTGCAAGGCAAGCAGAGGCAGGTGAGGGCAGGGATGTGCCTGTGGGAGCAGCACAGCCATGCACAGGGCACTGGGGCTCTGCCCTCCTCAGCAGGGAGAGATGGGGACGGCCAGCCTCTGCCTTTCCCTTCCCAGGGTGTGACTGAAGGCAGAGGTGCCAACAGCCTCCGGGCACAGCAGCGTGGGGAGAAGCTGCTGATAAAGATGGCACACAGCTGAGCAACTCCACGGCCACCTGAAGCCAAAGCTGTGTGGGTGTGTGCCCACATTATGGATATGAGCAACTCCAGCGTCATTTCCAAATGGATGGTGCTCACTCCCCCCTCGGGGGAGGACATGCAGTGCCACAAGCTGATGAGACATGGGCTGCTTGTCACACACACAGCACGCCGTGGAGGGGCCCCTACTCGTGGGCCACATCAAAGGGGCCTAAGGACCCTCTTGCCTGTCACTGCCTCTGGTGAGCCCCAACAAACCCACCCAGCTTTGGCTGAGCTTGGAGGAGACTATTCCCACACTTTCTCACTATTCCCACAGTCACCACCTAAAATCCATGGCTACTCGGTGTCTGGGGATTGACTGTTACCCCTCTGCTAAGGTGCCACCAACTGATCCACTACCAAGAGTGTGAGGAGAAATAAACCAACCAAGGAATGATTTTTTCCTGCCAGCTGATTGAAGGAGGAAGGCTAACACTGCTCAGCAGGAATCACAGTGCATGGATCACCTCCCACTGTGCTGGAAAGGGTTAACCCTTCAGATGATAAAGAAATCACTAGTTATGGTTTCCACACTCCTGGAAAAATGGCTGTTTTTTAGGGACCTGCACAACTTAGCCTGAGTCTGGGCAGCACAGACAACATGGACTTACCCGTCGGACTGTAAGGGGCATCATCTGAACTTTTCCTTTTCTTTGATCGGGATTTGAAAACTGGATTATCTTCATCTGATTCGAGAGAAGGGTAAACTACAGTAGGAAACAAAGGCAATAGTTTCAGTGTAGGAAAGAGCTCTACCCTGCACGTTGCTCTGTCCGGGTGTGGTGACCACAGGCACCACAGCTGGATGGTCCCCAGAAGTGCCACTGAGGGCTGGCAGCTGTGACACTCAGGGGACTTTCCTCTGCTCTCATGCACACACTACCCTTGGGAGCTGTTGTCATTAAACTGTGACCAGGTACTTTTAGGGTACTCTGTAATCACAGAATCTCCTCAGTTGGGAGGGACCCACCAGGATCATCAGTCCAACTCCCGGCCCTGCCTAGGACACCCCAACAATCCCACCCTGTCCCTGAGAGCGTTGTCCAAACACTCCTTGGGCTCTGGTAGCCTTGTGGCCATGACCACTGCCCTGGGGAACCTGTTCAGTGCCTGACCTTCCTCTGGGCAGAACCTTTTCCTGATATCCAGCTTAACCCTGCCCTGGCACAGCTCCAGTCATTCCCTTGGGTCACACAGAGCAGAGATTGGAGCTGCCCCTCTGGAGGAGCTGCAGATCCTTATGAGGTCTGACCTCAGTCTCCTCTCCTCTAGATGAAGCTGAGCCATTCTATGAATGGACTCTTCCCAGCCCTCTGGGATAAACACCAACTTTTCTGCCCAAACTTTTTCCCAGTCTGTTCTAAGAAGCTTCTGTTGTTTTTTTCCACATGCATTTCATTTTCTTGCCAGTTGCCATTTGTCCCATCCCTGGTGTTGGCATTCCTGGGGCACGTGGCCACCGACGCTTGAAGTCTGCGGATCACATGTTGCACTGGCAGAGCCTCTGCAGACCCAGCCTGCTCACAGCCACTCTCCATTCACTGGCAGCACCGGCACAGGGAGCAAATCTGCCCCTCAGGACAGCACATGTGACATCTGTCAACCACAGTCCTGTGCTGCCCTTTTGCAAAGCATGTCCAGGACTCCCACTGCATCCCAGAGCATGTGCTCTCCAGTGTATGGGCAGCCTCCTGCAACCTTCACAGCAGCCCCACTTCTCCTTGGCAGCTCTATTAATGATCTGAAAAGACCCACTTCTCTTTCCTAACTGGAGCAAGTGATTCCTGATGGTCACACTTGCCAGGGAGACTGAAACACATGCAAAGACTCTCCTGCTATGCAGCATAAACCAATTTCTTGCCCCCTTAGGCACTTCAGGTTTCCCAGTCCCTATCAGCATTCACTTTATTGTCTTGATTTCCTCACTTATACACAAAAATGCTTCTGCATATTATTCTTCAGCCTGGAGAAGAGAAGGCTTCAGGGAGACCTTAAAGCCCCTTCCAGTGCCTAAAAGGGTTCCAAGAGAGCTGGAGAGGGACTTTGGAGAGGAGGTTGAAGTGACAAAACAAGGGGGAATGGCTTCCCACTGCCAAAGGGCAGGATTAGATGGATATTGGGAAGAAATTCTTCCCTGTGAGGGTGGTGAGACCCTGGCACAGGTTGCCCAGAGAAGCTGTGGCTGCCCCATCCCTGGAAGTGTCCAAGGCCAGGTTGGACAGAGCTTGGAGCAACCTGGGCTAGTGGAAGGTGTCCCTTCCCGTGGCAGGGAGTTGGAATGAGATGAGCTTTAAGGTCCCTTCCAACCCAGACCATTCCATGATTCCATGATAACTATGACAGAACTGATGTAACTGGTGCAAACTGGCTTTGTGCTCATTTCTGCTGCAGATGCTTGGCCTTTTCTGCCAACACTCAAAATAGCATTGGATCCCTTTTCCATGTACAAAGTCAACTTCTCACCCCTCTCAGCCAGATGTTTCTTTGCCATTGTGCAGACAAGGATATTTCTGTCACGAGTGCCTGACCCACATTTCTGAGACAGTCTCCTGTTTCTGGGCTGACTGCTACAGTTTCAGGGGCTTTTCATATTTCTGAGAGTTTCTCATTGTGCCAAGCCTCAACTCCAGCCTGCCCGGACGGCTGTGTCACCGCGGGCTCTGCAGCCAGTCTGGTATCACAGGTCTTTGCTGATTTTGTGGTGCAGGCCCCGTGTTACAAACACTCCTCCTCACCCAACACCGGCCGACACCACCACGGCAGAGCAGGAGAAAGCGACCATGGGCAATGGGGTGTTGCAGACATGCACAGGTGTGACCATGCAGCCCCAGGCACACCCTGCTCCCTTCCTACTCACCGTAATCCGAGTCCTTAAAGCAGGCGTCCAAGTGGTCCTGATCCTCGTCGTAATCCTCGATGTCGATGCTGTTCTTTGTGCTTTTCTTCAGTAACCGCTTCCCGGCGTTTTTGTTGCCGCCGCCGCCTGTTTTTTTGGAGTTTTGCGTGGAGATGGAGTTGTTCTTCGCCTGGTTGGTGCCCCACGACGTCTGAAGGCAGGACTCCGAGGCCTGGAGGTTTGCCATGGAGAGCATGCCCTGGATGGCTTCCTGGGTGCTGGGGGAAGCAGGTGGCTGGCTGTGGGGACACAGGGAGAAACACAGGAGCCATCAGTGATTCCAGAAACACCAAGCCCTCACAGACAGCTCACTCTTTTCACAGCACGTTTGTGCTAGAAGAGATTCCCTGGTTCCTTTGAGTAGCTGGACACACCGCCAGGGACAGCGGGTAATTTTATGGAGCAGCAGTATCTCAGACATCCTCAGATGTGGGCATGTCCCTGGGGGCTGTCATTGCTCTGGACAGGGCTCAGGGAACTTTCCAAAGCCCATATTGTATTCCCAACAGTACAGTGTCTCTACTACCAACTATCATCATCATCACCATCATCATCATCATCATCTTTATCTTTTAATAATATTATTTCTCTACCTATATATATTTAATAATTCTATTTATCTGTACTACCAAATCATCCTCCTCCTCATCACCATATTTTAATAATAATATTTATAATCTATACTACCAAGTCCTATAAAAGGAGAGCTTATGCACCAGCACTGATGGGGGATGTCGTGGAGGGCTCTGCTCCATACAAGCAATTAGAGCAAGAGCATGAACAACTAGAAGGAAGTTCATGGTCACAGGCCCCAGTTCACAACAGGGACTGTCACCCCTCCAGGATCTGCTGGAAGAGCAACACCGAGGCACAAGTAATTTGAGAAGTTTCTGCAGTGCATTGGGAAGGTTTTCTGATGTGAGTGTGGGACGGATTGATTACAGGAGATACTGGAGAGAGACAGATTTCCTTGAACTTCCTTTCTAGTATTTGATTGCCCATTGTCAGCAGACACAGCACATCTGCTGCATTCCTAGAATAGGCTGAGGTCAAACGAGGTGTAAATTCCGACTGGCACTGACACTTAGTGAGGTGGGAAGGTGCCCTGCCCACCACAGAGATGAACACAGATAATCCCACAGGAGAACACCAGACATTAATTCTGCGACAGGCAGAACACATCATCCACTATTTCCAGAACTTTGGAGTTCGGGCAAGTAGTGAAATGCAAAAAAAAAACCCAAAACAAAACCACAAAACCTTGCTGTGGCAAGGGTGTTTGTTACAGCTGTGAAACAGAAGCCATGAACACACAGCCCTTCCCAAGAGAATCAGCAGCACCACGTCGCTTTCTGCTACTTGAGCTTAATTTGGGCTCAGGATAGAGTAACATACAAGACATAATGGAAGTTTCTGGGCACTAAGGACATTTATAAATAATCCTGAAAATGAGCTAAGACTGGTGTTAGCTCACAAGTCAGCAAATAGAAGAACACTAAAAAAACCTATTTAGGAAGCAGCCATTTAAATTCCTCCAATATCATGCCTCCTCCTTTGGCTTCTCTCTGGTAAAGGCATATTTTGCACCATCTATAAGGAATTAACATATCTTCCTTCACTCTTTTTCCCTGAATTGTTTTTCCAAGCACTGGACTCTCAAAACACTGCAAACAGACCATCAAACATTGACCACTAAATGGGAAAATCAGAAAGGAACTGCCTTAAGCAACACAAACTTCAACAAATGAATGGTGAGATATGATCAAAACCAGTGGTTCTGAGAGTCCAACTCCAACCTGAAATGGGTGAAATGTCTCAGAGACGGAGCTGCACATGGGGCAGAGTGTTTCTCAGTAGGGCATGTGCCTGGTGTGCTTCCATCAGGGGTATTTCAGCTTTCTAAGCCAAGAAAAATTTCAAGAAGACTCAGGAAGCTATTTTGAAGCTCTGGAAGAGCTGTATCCCCTTTCTGTAGCTTTAGCAATGATTTTTAAAAAAAACCCACATTTACGAAAGTAAACTATCAGAGAGTTACAATTACAGCTTAAAAACACTTTAAAAGAGCATGGGAGCAGGAATAAAGCAGCCAGAGTGTTTTTGCCCCCGCAGCCACCTCCAAACACACAGCACGGTGGCACTGGGTGATAGCTCTGACCTGCCTCAATCCCAGCAGCCTTGTGTTCCTGTTCTCAGGCTGACAAATGCTCTTGTGGATGCACAGAGAAAGGGACACTCTAACAAACTGACTGACAGCTGTTTGTGCCTTTATCTGGCTTGTACCAGCACTAGTATGGCCAGCAGGACCAGGGCAGGGACTGTCCCCCTGTGCTGGGCAGCGCTGAGGCCACAGCTCAAAACCTGGGGTCAGTTTTGGGCCCTTCATGACAAGAAAGACCTGGAGGAGCTGGAGTGTGTCCAGAGAAGGGAATAGAGCTAGAGAAGGGTCTGGAGCACAAGTCTCATGAGGAACAGCTGAGGGAGCTCAGCCTGGAGAAAAGGAGGCTCAGGGGGGTCCATGGTACTGAGCCAGGTTTGACAAGAGCATCCTATCCCTGACAGCAGGTGACATAGTGGGTGATGGGGACAGGAATACACCAAGTCAGCACTCAGGCTTTACCTCCTCAGTGAGGCTGGGCACAGGAACGATCCCAACACCCTGGATCATGCAGGGGATCACACAGGGACCTGGTGCCTCACTCTTCACAACCACTGTCACCTCTCTCTCTGAGGGCTCAGCCTCTCTAGGCAGATCATCTCCTTCCTTTCATCAGCAATTACTGAGCCTTCCACCTATATCCTCATATATAGAAACTGAATTTACAGTATTCCACCCCAATATTACTGACTGAGGGGTGGCTCTGGAGAAGTCACGGTTGTTTAAAACTATGGAACTCCAATAATGCCAAGCACAACCCCAGTGTTTCCTTCCATTTTTGAATCAGACCTGGACACAACAAGTAATTTTGCTCATTTCAAGATCAGGTGACGACCAGCCCTCCAAGCTTTTGCCATATTCCATTTCAGTTCTTTCAGCCCACTCCCACACTCACAGCAGCCTTTCTGCAGGAGCTCTGTCACTCCCTCTCCCCACTGACACATGGAGTTGAGCTGCAGCTCTCTAAAGCAGTCGAGGCAATGCCATCAGGGCATTTGAGGTGGGCAGCTGCAAATGACAGCCCAGTAGTTTACAGAACAAAATTTCCCACAGTTCAGATAAGGCCATTATCACGAAAAGCCCTGAGCTGCTTCCCAAGTTAGTGCTGGGATACAGCAGCTCCAGCACTGGTCTGACAGGGTTCCATGCACAGACTGCTTGATGTGTGAGAGGAGACTCCACAGTGACCCACCTGCACGACCACTACGTGGTGTATCCAGAATATACATATATATATGTATATCCATAAATACTTACATATCCCTACCCTTCATCTGCCTTACAAGTAGAGAAAGATGGGAATTGCTCCTGAGAGTCAGACATGACCACACTGGCATCATGTTGCGACTCAGTACGTTTGTATATCGTGTTTCTTCCATTTTATTTTTAAAAAGTACATTATGGTCATTTAAAAAGCCAAGCCTAATTATGAAATGAAACACAGTAATTACATTTATCAGGGGCTTTTTTCAATCAAGATGCAGCACACACTGCCAAAGCCCAGTGTTTATCCCAGAGCCAGCATTGATATGACACATTCCCACTGAACTGCCCCACACAGTGCAGGAACTCAGCCGAGTCCAGTGACACGACTGTGCTTGGGAGACTTTGATTTCAGAAACCACAAAGTCTACAAATACCCTGGGTACATCATCCAGGAGTGGGGGGGCAAGCAAAGGCCTGAGTCCTTCTCTATTCTGGGAGTTTAACCCCCTGCCAGCAGCAAAACACACCCCAAGCAAGGCAGAGAATATTGGAGGAGCAGGCAATAAATGGTTGGTAGTGTGCACATGGTCAAGGAAGATTTCTTTGAATTCTTATAATAGTTGATAAATTTTCTTTTTTTTGTACCAGACTTCCACTATGGGAGTTCCATTAGCCTGGCAACTTTATTGACAGAGTTAGACACACCTAGCTGCTTGTCAACATGTCTAATGACCTGCCAAAATGTAACTGTAAATTCGATGTAAACACTCATCCCATTATGAACCACAACACAGAATGGAAAAGGAATTCACAGGAACAGTCAAACAGACAAGTGTTAATGTGATTATTTCTTTGGAAGTGTGGGAGCAGAGTTGGGGCCAAATCTGAAGAGATCGGGAAAATCCAGAACCAATGATCCAGTTGAATTAAGACAACAAAAACTACTTGATTTCCTGGGAGCTGCAGACAAATGGACACCTCTCCCCATGCCCTCCATGACAGATGTTTGGTCAACCTCTCCTTGCTATGGAAAGGGAAGCAACACAGGAAAACCAGGACTAGAGAGAGATGAGATCTTGTCCCTAGAAATAGCAGCCTTGTCAAGACAAGACTTCTGAGGAGATGAAGTGACTGTGTGACTTGATTTTAAAATCAAGCCTTTTTCACCCCCATTAGAGATGGAAAGAGAAATCAGAGGAGACTCTGTGGCCCATCTCTGCTCAGCACAGGGATGGGGATCCCTGTCCCTGCTTTGCAACCAGTAATGAACCCTAAATGGTGATGCCCAAAGGCCAGAGTGTCTCGACAGAGCTGCCTGGTTCTGCACAGCCAATGCACCCTGCATGAAGCCAGGCCATATCATATTTTTTAACCTCTTGCAACCATCTGAGGACACAATTTTCTAGTTACTTGAGAAGGTTGAACCAGAAGATGGGTTTAGTTCAGCAATGTTCCCTTCTCTAGATTTCTCTGCAGCTTTGTCACCACGCTGCAACCTTAACAAATTCCATTCTCTCTCTCAACATAAAAAAAATGATTTTTTTTTTAAAATCTCTGATAATATTTTCTTCTATTGTAATTTTCCCTTGGTAACTTATTCCACATGTTCCCCTTTGACCACGAGGCATACCTTTTGGAATTCTCAGTTATGACTTTTAACTTTCCCAGGCTTAGGTAATATCTTCCTCTCTGGAGAGATCTCCTCATTCCACTTTGACAGATCCTTTCCAATTTGCAGGCTGCACCTTTCCTGGGTCACAGGCCCCCAACACCCAGCAAGGGCAAAGGACAGCACCAGGGTCTCTGTCCAGTTTGCTCTCAACTCTCAGGTCAATCCTACAGCTACTTCTACCTCCTGCACAGCTTCTGTGGCTTTGTATAACCAAGGCAGACCAAGAGAAAGGAGGGAGGAAAATTATGCTGTTGGTTCCAGCGGTCAGCAAGGAAACCCAACACATCCCACCTGCCTGGGGAAGGTGGTTTTCAAGGTGAAGATGGAACTGGCTTATTAAAAAGCCAATCACGAATAGCCTTCCACATGTGTCACATAATTTCCCACATCAGACTTGTTACTCTCACCCTTTGGAGGTTTATTCCTTGGTTTGCACAAATTTAGAATCTAGAAACTTCTGCCAGCAGCCCACAGCTTCCAAAAGTACCAAGGCTGTGGCTCCTGGGGAGCAGTGGGAAGTGCTTGGCTGAAAACCTCTGCTTTTCTACAGATGGAGGACAAACCATCCCCTCCAGGCTGCAGCAGCAAGGATGTCCTTATGAGCAGATGACGAGGGAGCACCGGGCGCAGCAGTTCCTGCCCGAGGAGCAGTTCTGTGCATGGAAGCCACAACTCAGCTGATGTTCCCAAAACCCCTTCCTTGTGGATTTGTTCCTAGGGTTTGAGTTAAGCAAGATACTTCAATATGTGAACAGTCCCACTAACTTCTCTCCAAACAACACCATGTTCTGTTACCAGCTGTCTGTTGATGGTTTGAGATCAGAGCTGGGCTGTGAAGGGTGGAGGCAATGACCCCACACACCTGGTTTGAGATGGACCCAGACACACCCCTTGCTCCAGACAGTCCTGAATGCAGGATTTGAGCCTAGCCTAGACTTGTTTTCCATTTCTTTTCACCACTCACTGTCTGGTTTACTGTATGATCTAGTGCTGTACCTTATTGACCACATCCCAAAACATCCAGTTTCAGTTCCCACATTCACCTACATAAGTAGATCCCACATAAGACACAGCTAAGCCCAGGCAAATATTTCCATTTCAGAAATAGAAGTACCCATGAAAGAGTTTACTTTTTTCCCCAAGCCATATTTTTTGGTGGGGAGAAGAATGATGACCAGGGATAGGAGGGAGGGTAGATAGTTTCCTATTTCCTTCTTGCAAACATTTGATATTCATGGCACCGTACAATGCCTTATGGAAGGAATGTTGGTCATTTAGATTACTTTATCACAATCTCACTACATTAAAAACCGTAATTCATGCCCTCAAGCTGCAGTCACTGAGCTCTCTCCTCCTTTTGAATGATTTTTATCTATTACAGTGTTATTGCTAAAAGTGATGTCAAATCCTCTATTTGTTTAAATTATACCCCAAAAATCTTTCCCACCTCCAGATCATAGGACAAAGGAAGAATTTGCTTACTGGAGAAAAAGAAGTTGCCAAGTTGCACAATTCATTCTCTCTCACACACAGCCACAAAAGAGCAGTTTTGTTCCCAGGTAAGAGGGAAAAGCCTCCCTTGGTGCGTACCTGTTGGTGTTATACTCTAAACCCCCAACTTCCTTGCTTGCCTGCAAAAGATCAAGAATTCCTGCTGAACTTCCACTCTCTTTCTTTACTTTGGAATTACGTCCCGGCTTTGCCTCAGTGTCAATGTGAAGCAAATCTTCATCTGACGAGTCCTCGCTCTGCAAAAACAAGGGAAGGGCTCAAAAAAGGTGGAAAATCACTGAGTTACTCAACAAGAACAGCACAATGATTCCTGCAGCCTGCTGCTCCTCCAAGGACACAGGACTAGCCTTTGGAATTTGCTTTCATTAAAGATAAAAAGAACAAAACCAGGTGCATGGTAAAAATCCATTTCCTTGCAATCTGTAGGCATGGTGGGTTTTTCTTTCCCCTCCCAAAGCTCTGAGATCTGATCCTGCTCATGGGATCAGACCACTCTAACAGTGGTGTTTCCAGGTGCTGCTTTGATTTGCCAGCCCCTGCTCCAGTTCTTCGGACCATGACCCCTCCAGGAAAGGAAGGGACTGTGTGGCCATGGCTCTGCCAGCCCAGATGTGCAGCAGGGCACAGATCTGCACCTGGCAAGACTGCCAACACTGACAATCCAGACATGGGACAGACCATCTGCCATCCCACTGCAGGAGACTGGGAAATCAGACAGCAGAATGGCACAGATCCATAGGAACAGGGGCCACGTGGGGCCATGGAAGGGAGCTGCCTACACCTGACCATCTCCCTGGGGCTGGGATTTCTGTGCACTGTAGCCTACAGTCTAATAAAACGACTCTTTTCCCTCCCTGTCCTGTTTTCAGGCTGCTGAGGTGCCAGCCCTTATTGCTTGGAGTGCCAGTCTGTTCTCTCCAGGGACTCCCTCCTTCAGCTCCCGCACAGGGAGATACCACCAGCCTCCAGACATCAGCTCCTGACTCAGGCAAGGAGGTCTGCAATTCCTCCTGAATATCCCAGAGACAAACCAGGGTGCAGAGAATTTCTTAGTACTTAAAACCAAACATTTTGGTCAACTCCGGTTCTGTCTTAACAAACTATTTTCTTTTTCTGACTTATTCAGATATTATAATATGAACTTGTACTGATCACAGCAAACAAACACTTTAATTGCTGCATCACAGGTACAGAATCACAGAGGGGTTTGGGCTGGAAGGGACCTTAAAGATCCTCTCATTCAAGTGGGACTTTGTGAAGGAACAATATCATCATACCTTGTATGGTACCGACTCCACCTTTGGTTTCTTAACAGGAGTGTGCTGCAGGGTGTCTTTTTTATCTGATAAAACTGAATGAATAAAAAGAAACACAGAGTCATGGTTCTCTTCCCTCCAAAAACCAGCCCTCCTATTCCCTTACATTTGACTGACAGGTAAAACACGGCTTTCTTTACTATAAATCACATGCTGATTGTTCTGGACAACAACCACCTAAGACTTTGTTGAGCAGATAAAGACAAACCAGGAAATATTCTTACAGGGCAGTTCTCTTTTTGAAGTGTTTTTCTTCCTTCTGATTGGAAACTCATCAATTTTTAGTTCACCATCATCTGACACATATTCATATTCATCCCGTACAGGTTTGGCTTTGTCTTCCTTAAAATTCTGCAGTGACCCAAACACACTAGTATTCAGCTGGGTTTTGACTCCCTTTGAACTGAAATGAAAAGAAAAATTACAAATCAGTAACAACACTGAGTAGAAAACAGCTTGTGACTTGACAGAGAGGAAGACAATGAGTATCTCTATGCAGAAATCTCAGTCAACTGGATACTTTCAGGGGCCAAAGCAATTAGAATAATTTTACAAACACGTTTCTGAACCTACAATTTATATCTCAAAACAGGATGCTGACTAAAGCACTAGAAGAACTTTTTGTGATAGTGTATTTTCTAAATTGACCAGAAAGGCAGATTTTCATCTTCTTGTAAAAAAATATAAATAATGACTTTTCAATCTGCTTTTTTAGTTGATGTGTGTTGTCATATTTTTACTTACCCAAGCAACTTCTTATTAGAGAAAGAGAATGTAAATTTGTTGTCCTTATTTCCTGATAAAGGTGTCTTTTCTGATTTGTGTTCCTCTTCCATTTTTAGAAGTGAATCAGGTTTGCTGTTCTGAAAGGCAAACGATGCAAAACAAAACAATTAAACCAGTTAAATGTCATGTCATTTATGTTGTAGATTGCCAGGTATCTTCAGAGAATCTATTCAGCTACAGACAGAGTAAAAGAGAATTGCAAAATCATAGAATCACAGACTGGTTTGGGCTGGAAGGGACCTTAAAGCTCATCTCATTCCACCCCTGCCATGGGCAGGGACACCTTCCACCAGCCCAGGTTGCTCCAAGCCCCGTCCAACCTGGCCTTGGACACTTCCAGGGATCCAGGGGCAGCCACAGCTTCTCTGGGCAACCTGTGCCAGGGCCTCCCCACCCTCACAGGGAAGGATTTCTTCCCAATGCCCAAATAAGGTCCCCCAAATGTGGTGAGTAAGAGAGGATTTTGTAACAGGGGAATTTGTTTGCACTTTTGTCATTAGAATTTCACAACAAACATCTGTTTCAGTGAGAGAGCCTGAGGTGACCTTATTTAATTGCCCCTGCAGACAGAATGTGCTGTTCTGGGAGTGAATTTCACTGACCCTCCATTAGCCCTCCAGGAAGGTAAGCTTTTAAGTCCATGTGGCATAATTCAGATTTCATTAACTTTAATTTCATGCCATTAAAATTAGTTACTGAGTATAAATTATTAGTTAATTATTGATTAGTTATTGATTTCTCTGCAACTACTCCAGACTTAAAGCAGTAGGACTGTGTTCCAGGAAGGATCACAAAAGGGATCAGTACTGAACATCTCACTGTTAACAGTTTGGTGTCACCATGGATAAGATGGATAATTCAGCACATGCTATCCAAGAATTCATCCACACACATCCCCTTCCTTAATCAGTGAGTGATTCTTTTCTGCTTAATTTTTTTCTTTGAAAACTCAAAATTGGTGTCTTGTTCTCTCTGCTTAGGCAGAGCCATGAACGATTCTCCACCCTCAGCTTGTCATTATGAGGCAGAACCAGCAGCAGAATTTAACAGGAGGTGTTACCTTATATTTCCATTTGGCTTCTGTTTTGCTTTTATTTTGCTCTCGGACTTCAAATTTCTCCACCTCATTCTGCTTGCTTGCAGAATCCTTATTGGGAACACTTAGAACATTCTTTGCAGCCTGGGGAAAAAAAGTCAGGAAAAAGTCCTTTTAATGAGGATGCAGTGCTGCATGTCAGAAACACAGGCTTTATCTGGAATATAACACAATATATTTTTGAAAACTCCTATTTATTCTTTTGGAACCCAAAACTGAGGTTCAGTCAAATATTGCTGCTTCAGAACTTACAGAAGACCAGCTGCTCTTCTCCTCAACACACCAACACACTCATCTCCCTGCCTGCTGCTCCATGACAGGCACCACAAACTGCACACAAACTGCTAAAAGTTCAGAAGTGCTTTAGGAAAGATTTAGGGGTATTTCTTTACAAACAGCAATTCTGACATTCCTCTGTCAGTGCCTCAATGGCCCCTCCTGAAGTCAACAGCAAAATTCATGCTGAATTAAAAGGTTTCAGAATTCAAGGACATCACAAAGAAACTTGTCCTGCATGGGCAAAAGTGGAAGAAAACTATTGTTCTATCTCCAGTCACTCCTTCTAGAGTGAAATCTCAAGTAAATTTGATGCTTTAGAAACAAGTTCTGACATCATTGATACCTTTTGATATAAATGGGTTTCTGGGAGGCTCCATATCAAAGAATAACCAAGCAAACAGTCAAATTAAATCCAAGAGTTGGGTAAAAGAAGGGCAATGAACCAGCAGTTACAAATCTTTTCTTCTCATCAGCAGAGCCAGGGTTTCACACTGTGTCACACAGATTACCTTTTACATGAGACCTAAGGAGTGATTTTATCCCTGTGATGGCAGGAGAAGGGGGAGAGGTTAAAACATGACCCACCTTCCCCTTCTTTGGCGTCTCAATCTTGGTCAGAGCCTCCTTGGTGTGTGCCTCCAGCAAGTCGAGGTTGGGGATGGCTGGAGGGGGACTCTCCTTTGCCTTCTTTCCTTTCTTTTTGCCTTCTCCCTTCACTTTCGGTGTTTTGGGAGGCTTTGGGGGCTTGGGGGGCTTGGGAGGTTTGGGGGGTTTGGATGGCTTGAGTTGTTTGGGGGTTTTCACAGTTTTGGGAGTCTTTTTTTTAGGGAGCTTTTCTGCGGGAGGGGGCGGAGGCGTCACTTGGACAGGTGAAGGTGCCTCCTCCTTCTCCACAGGACAGGTCTCCTCGGTGGTGGTGTTGGCACTCATGTCTGCTTTGCTGGCTTTCGAAGCGTTCTGCAGTTTGGCACAAAACAGAAGGTGTTCACACCCACCTGTCTCATGGTTGATATTCACCTACACCCTCCCTTCCACGGGGAAACAAACCCCAAAGATCCCCAAGGATTTGCTGGAGGGTGATCTGCATCACAGGCCAGTCTGGCCGGGGAATGAAGATCCCACCAAAGGCCACAATAAGGCTCTGCTCACCAATTCCCACCCCCACGTCCCTCAAGCACAAGTCTGGCCTGGAGAAGCTCTAGAGGCTTGGTAGGGAATGTAGGTCCATCAGGTGGGACGGTTAAATGGACTGTCCACACAAACAGATGGATGAAATGAACACTTCTGCTTAAAATGCTGATCAGCTTGAGCACAAACGCTTTCCACTTAATTCTGATACGATAAATGTAGCAGAATCACATTTCATGCCCCTCGGGGAAAATTAGCAGTAAAATAGCTGCCCAATTAAAATTAACACTGACTAATTAAAAAGAAATTATTTTCTGCTTAAGTTGCCGTTCTGACAATCAGCAAACCTAAATACTACATCAAAGAGGATCAAAGGACATGACAGATTTCAGTTTTGAGGTCTCTGGATGTCGTTAGAAAGGGGGTGGAATGTAACACAATGTCTTCTCAAAGGAACTGAACCAGCTACTGTCACCTTGTGGGATATGGCACCACGCTCAGTGGATGATCCTCCCATGCAACCTCCTTTATTGGGGGTTTTTTGGGGTTGTTGGGGTTTTTTGGGCAGTGTAATAATTATTATCTCATTTGCTATAGCTACTCTGCCCCAAGAGCAAGGCTTCCCACTGGGACAAGGCACAGGATCATAGTTCCAAGCTCAGCCAATGTCATGGACAAGAGTGTTAAGCACAAGAAAAAGCAGATGTTACATGGAGAGCGTGGTCATGAAGATGGCAACAGTGTTCTTTGAGTTCTATCCTATTTTGAGGGGAGAAGAAGCTAAAGTGAAACAGAAAATAAGGCTGGAGAGGGGAGTGTGGCCAGTCCAGCCAGGACCAGGTGGAGGAGAAAGGGTGCAGGACAGGCAGACACAGCATAAAGCTGAGGAAAAGCAAAGAAGAGCCCAGAACATGGCAAGTCAGCCACAGACAAGAGTCCTGAGCAGAGTTCTTTTAATGGAGAGAGTGGGAAACATTTATTTAAATACATCCGTTTTTCAGCCTAGACATATATAGTTAATATTATGAAAACAGCACAAACCTCACTTAATCTTATTTCTTTGGCAAGGTCCTTGATGAGTTGTGCTGGTTTGAAGTTTTCTGGTAGTTCATCTTCATGCTCTGCTAAAGCCTAAAACACAACAAAGCCAGACTGCTGTTTCTGTGTGTGTTTTTTTCAAAAATAGAAAAAAAAACCTCTTGAAGTGACTCAACCAAATTTTTCCTATGTGCTGAAATCAATCTTGACTGCATTAGACATTCAAATAAGGAAAAAATATACTTTTTCCCCCTTCTAGATGTTATTGTAACAAGTTGTCCTGAGAGAACAACAAAGTCAATCATCTTTTTTTCAGATATTACTGCTTTTTTACAGCTGCAGCATCATTTTGCTCATCCTCTTACATGAGATTCTGAGAGAAATTCCTTTTCTACATTCACCAAGACACACTGTCTCAGGCTGGTGTCCCCAGTGAGTACAGGCAGGTACTGTGTCAGCAGAGGGTTCTGGGGGCTCTGGGAGCACTGACATCATCTGCACTCACATGTGTGTTACCAAAGTCCAACTTTGGCCAATTCCCCTGTCCATGTTTAGTGATGGAACAGGCTATCTCCTGCAGCTGAGTCCCCCAAAATTTAGGAGCCACGCAAACAAGAATAACACTTCTGAAATAGCTGTAGCAGGAAATTGAGGCTTCAAATCCCCTTAAGCCTTGTCTCCAAGCAGTGTGTATTTCCTGGCTGGATCGAGGTGTTGGGTTTGCAGGAACTGGGCACCTTGTGCCCACAGAAAAGCAGGTGTTGTTCCAGCCCTCACTGCACAAACCCTCTGTGCTGTGGCACATGGAGATGCTTGGAATCAAGGAGAACATTCATCCACTGCCCCTTTGGCAACTTTTTTAGAACTCTGGTGATACCATTTTTCCTGCCCACTCCTCGTGTGGCACCATGACATCCCAGCTAGCGCCTGCCTTCCCGTTCTCCCACTTCCTTCTCTTTGGCATCTCGGAACTGGATGTTTTGCTCTGGAGATGTTATTTGTTCTAGCATTTCCTCTCTGCCCCAGCAACTAACAAACACCCAGTATTAACCCAGGCTGCTTCTCCTACCTGCTTTTTAGTCCATGACCTGAAAGCACCGTTGAGAATCTTTGCTCCTTGGAGTAGATGAGCAGGAGGTTGCTGTCCAGCTTTATGCAAACCTAAGCAGAGGAAAAACCCAATGTCATTCCACAACTGACAGTTTACAGGAAGTCTTTAATTTGGAAAAGTTTAACTGGAAAAGTCAAAGTTAACTCTTGGAGAGGTGGTCCCCACAATTCAATCCCTATTGTAACTTGATGGTAATAAGGAGTATATTTACTGTGTCACAGATCCAGCTCAGCCTTCCTACACTGTGCTCCTGTCAGCTCTGTCTACACCAGCAATCCTTTGGCTCCTTTCTCGGTCCCATACTCATCCCTAATTTCTAGGGCCACTCATCCAGGCTGTGGGAATAAAAAGGTACCATCAGTGGCTCTTTGATTCTGACTGAATTCTGAAAAGCACTCTGTGGATTAATTAGACAAATTTTCCTCTTTATAGAAGGATCTGATGGATATCTCTGGACACGTCCTATAGTAAGAGAAATAGAGGCAAAGAGCAAAGCAAGCCCGAATCTGTAAAGAACATTTACACATGGATGTTTGGATCAACTCTGCAGGAATCAAATTTGAAAGAGGTGGAACTTCACAGAAAACTTGGCTTTAATTCCCAATGCTCCTGCTGGCCACATGCCTGATGCTCCTGTGGCCCTGTGTCCATGAGACCTGCCCATATCTTCAACTAGGATCAGCAGGATGAAGGGAGAAAGGAGGGCTCACAGAGCCCATAGCTCATTCAGTTAAAACAAGGAATGAATCCAGACTCACAGGCAACTCAAAATAAAATAACAGCATTATTTTATAAAGCAGAATAAACCTTCTCATAGGCACAAGTAAGAGGAACAGCTCAGGTCTTTCCCAGAGCCCATGGCAGGATGTTCAGGGGTGAGCTGTACCAGAGCAGCACGTTCTGCTGGTATGTTCAAAGTAGTTTTCAAACATTAACAAGACCAGTTTTGGTCATCTGTTCATCCTTTAAGTGGACATCACCATATATTAGGGGTAACTGTTCTCAGACCCCAAAGCTGAGCCATCGAGGCAGGCAAGGAAATGCAGTTTTACCTTTGAATTTCTCTAGTAGATGCCTCCCCATGTACCAACACGCTGTTTCAAAGTTTGGAAACTGGGTCAGACTGACAATTTTCAACCGTCTTTCTACTTCATATGCCCTGCAAGACAAAGCCACAGGAACTTAGAGCATCACAGGGCACGAGTGTGTCACAAAAGCCCCAGGGTCACTTTGCAGCCTCTTTGTGCTGCTGCCATGTAGTCTGGCATCAGGCCAAAAGCAGAATATAACAACAGCACCACTAAAAAACAAGGTGATACAGATGTATGATAGTTTTATTGCATTATTTGCCCAGAATCAATAAAGAACTACTTGTACTGTCTTACACTGAGCAAAAAGTCCAGCTGAGTGGGTGGGGGCTTATCCAGCACTGAATGGTAGGTGCCAGGGCAAAACTCCTGGCAGTTTGTAGCAGTTCTTCCTTCAGGACATGGCCACACCAACCCAGGCACCTCACATATCCTCCTGTGCATTTTGCAACAGGCGTAAGGGCAGCTGAGAACAACTCAGCGTGAGAGAACGTGGTCAGAGGGCACAGAGGTGGGTACACCACCCAACAGAGCTACACCAACCCTACTGCCAATGATTTATTATTACTCACTGATTAAAAACTGAGCCTCTACACAACTTCAGATTTTAATGCCAGATTACCTCATCTGCATTTCAACGCTTAGACTGTGTAGAAAATGTCCTGCGAAGGCCAGGCAGTCTACAGGTGTTAGAGTTGCATAAATCCAACCTAAAAGAGAAAGACAAGAGTCCTCAGGATAAAAACTGGAACGGCAGTAGCACAGACTTTAATCACAACATGCTGTTTATACTTTACTGAGCAGCTTCCTCCCTAGGTACCAGTACAGCTCTCCAGTCCAGCCCCAGAACCACACACTCCTTCAACAAGTGGCCCCTTGTTTATTTTGCTGCAGAATGGCAGCTGCTTTCCCATCTCCACGAAAACCTGGGACACGTACTTTATCACAGTGTCAGAGCCAGGTGTTTTCCAAACATGTATTTTCATACAAAAATCTACTCAAGTCAGGGAATCTCTATAAATTGCTCTGTGTTTGTTCCACCATCTGCTCCACAGATGGTGATGAGAGAAACACCTACTTTCCACTTCTTACACTCGAGGTAAAATTCAAGTGTGTAAACATTCTGTGCAAGAATATACTCACACACAGAAAAATGTCACTACTGTCTGCTGCCTCCTGAGCACTGGTACCAGTTACTGCCACTGCCTGCACTCAGACTGTGGCTGAGGAGGGCTCTGCATCATTTACATGCAGGTAGAGGGAGAGAAGATCCCTGTCCCAAAGAGATTACAGTTTCAGCAGGTAACAGGGAGGGCTGGAAACAGCAATGCAAATGAGGAAATTGTTGTTCATGGTTAGAAGAAGGTGAGGGAGAAGGGCTGGAGCAGAACTGTGTTCACTTCAAACCCTGCACTGTTTTGTGATCAACTCTCTGTCCTTATAGAGATCCTCCCAGGAACCAAGAAAAACGAAATCCACTATCCCTAATATCCAAAGAAAGCCTGAGTCTATTAAATAACCCATAAAAATCTGTAACACCGAGGTCTTTGGCCTAGTGTGCAGCCATAAGTGCACGCTCACACTCATGCAGGTACCTGCATTTCCTCAGTGTCTCAGGGGATTAATGTCTGTGACAAGGATTTTGTGGGGTGTCATGGTCAGAATATAAATTCATTACACATAAATTCTGTGTTAGGTGTCAGAAAGCACCAATGTCATGGTGGATACAGAAGGAGAATTCAGGAGTTACTGCAACCCAGCTAGACCATGGGTGGAACACTCTGCCTACTAGTGGTATGTAAAAAAGGCTGCTAAAATTCTAATAGAAAGCAGTAAAAGGTCTGATTTTTTCTTTTTTGATTGTTATGCTTGTAAGCACATGAAATCAAACTTCTATTGTGAATTAGACTTTAGACTTTGTCAGAGAAAGTTGTCAAATCCCACCTCTCTGGCATTTTGGATGTGCTCCTCTGAACAGAGGAGGGAAGCCCACCTGCCCCAGCCTGCTCACCTGATGGGATGAAGAGTGTCTGGCCTTGTTTAACGGTGCATTTGTAACATTTATCCACTTGGTCTGCAAAAAACATCTCACTGTGGTTTGCTGCTGACTGCCAGCGTTCATACAGAGAAATATTTGCAGGGGCTGGTTTGATGAGATAAAATATCTTTTCTCCCTGAATTAGAAAATATAAAATTAGCAATGAGCAGCCAAACCAAACAACACTGCAGTGGCACAGACACACACACACTCCAATATTTATCTAGATGTACAGATAACATTGTGTTTAAATAAAATTAACTAGTGAGCTTTGTACAGAGGGGCTGAAATAATTAAAGCACCAGCTGACCACATCTGCTCAGATTTGTGGGAGTGATGTTTACAGCACCAGGTTCCATCACCGTGCAAAAGCAGGACATGGTACCTTTAAGGCCTTGGGTGATGTATGCGCAGAAGGCACTAAACAAATATTAAAATTCTAATAGAGTGAAAATACACAGAGGATTTGGATTTCCATGCTCCAAGTGCTTCCTCACTCAGGAGATCCAGTACTGCTGGGAGCGAACCCACTTACAGCAGATAAGGCTCAGATACAACAGAGCCATGGAGAAATAAACCTGAGAGCTGAATTTCAAGAGAATTTTATGCTGGTTCTTTGTGTGTAAAACTTAGTTTGTTACAAGATACACCTGACACCCAGGAGCCCTCACCTTGAGCACGTGGTACCAGGCAGAGGCTCCGCCAGAGTCTATGTGGAAGTCGGTGTAACTGTCCTTCACACAGATCAGGCAGTACTTGGTCACTTTGGGTTTAGCCAGCAGAGCATCATCAGGCCAATAGTTTTCCACCCAGGACAGCTTCTTTACAATGTCAGGAGGCTCTACAAAACTGGACATCCTTACAGAGAGAACGGAGAACAGACAGGCAGCTTTTTAAAACAGAGCTCAAGGACCCCGGTACGACGAGAGGCGAGCGTGTGACAATACTTGCATGGCAAACTGAAGCAGCTCCTCTTGTGGCAGTGGAACTGCTCTTCATGCAGAAAATTTGGGAAAACTGTTTACAGACAGAGATTTAAGGGTTTTTTTAAGTATCATGACTTAACAATAATCCTTTGCCTTCTTTCAGCAGCATCATCTCTGATCAAATATATGCTGTTTGCATTTCTCCAGCCCCTGCCTCTTGCTATGCAGGCTCAGGTATCACCAGATCTGTTATCACAGTCACCTTCCCAGCCCCCTTCTGAAGAGAAAGTGAAACGTGTGCACTTTGACATAAATCATCTGGCAAACCTTAAAAACGTGAAAGTTAAGTTTAATATTAATAATCCAAATAACAACAACATTAATGCTTATGGATAAATAAGTCTTGTTCTGATGCTGAAAATCAGTGATCTTATTTAGATTGACTAAATTACATTAAAAGCTCAGAAGGAGGAAAATGCCTAATTTGGGTTGATAACGTGAATATATTTAAAAGATAACATATATATTTCTATAATTTCTATAATTTATACAAATAAATCTATTTATTTACACTAAGCATATACTCGCATATGTATCTAAAATTTATACAAATTATCTTCATTTACATTGAACATATGTTCATATTGTATTTATTTATTTATATAATTCATATATTATGTGACAAATATCATACACTATAATCATAGCTAAGACAATGCAGTGGCATGATAACCAGGTATTAGGTGTTTCATCCCAAAATGTGCTAAATTTTAGATTTATATAGTCCAAAATTTGGGCTAATAGTTGTGGGAGGGGGAGATTCACTGCTGGGCCATGTCAGTAAGGATATTTCCACTTCAAACCCAAACTAAATGCTCCCACATGTCATTTGTGCTCAGTGTCAAACCCTGATGACAACAGCTCCATTTCCATGGCAGGGTAGATGGAGCAGTGCATTCAATTAAACTGTCACTGTCTATGCTAAGAAATAAAATATTTGCTATTAATGTCTAAATTAGCAGTGTATGAGCGACAGCTCCAGCAGTCCTTCAGGACAAAAGACATCCTGTTATTCGAGGATAATGGCAGAAAGCTGAAAAAAATCTCTGCTGAAGATCCTGGTGATCTCTGAAGCCTGTAATGAGTAGAGCTGCTCTCTGCAGCAATGGGTGTGCACCACTAAATCCCAACTACACGCCTCAGGGGAGTAGCTGGAAAAATGAGCTTGTCATTATCCACCAGCCCTCTTTTTCAAGTCTTCTCACTGAAACAGATTGCTCCCCAAAACAACCATTCTTCATTTTTCTGTTGACATTCATCATCATCTGTGTAGTGTGTTTGTATGTAAAGGGATCTTCTCTTTCTCTGGTGCTTCCCTTCTGGAAGCATCAGTCCCCAAAGGACTACAGGACGTGTAAAACTCGCAGTTGTTTGACATCCAATACTTTACAGATGCACCTGCCCACTCCTGGGATGAAGGTGCTGAGCACAGCGACGGAGAGCCCCGAGCAGGGACCTCAACTCTCAGGCACTGACACCAGCTAATGATCACAGAATCACAGAACCATGCAAGGGTTTGGGTTGGAAAGAACCTTAAAGATCATCTCATTCCCATTTAGACCATGGGCAGGGATACCTTCCACTATACCAGGTTGCACCAAGCCTCGTCCAACCTGAAACTGGACACTCCCAGGGATGGGGCAGCCACAGCTTCTCTGGGAAACCTGTGCCAGGGACTCACTACCCTCAGGGGGAGGAATTTCTTCCCAATATCTAACCTAGCTGATCTGCACCATGACCCCCAACCTGCCCTCGGGCAGTCAGCACCACCCTGACTCTGAGCTGCTGTCAGACAGATCACAGGTTATCCGGCAAAAGCACTGAAACCAGAACTATAACCCATGCTGTAGCATTACAAAGATATAACAAAATTTCGAAGTTACTATCCTTAAAGGACACCCAGTGACATGTAACACTATACCTGAAGCCACACTTCATCTACTTACCCCCTCTCTGCTACTCTGCATGGAAGATTTTAGTAAGCAATGCATGATGCACTCACACCTAGTGGGATGCTCACTGCTGTACAGCACACTTGAAAAAAGAACGTGCCAAGGAGATCAAGATCACCTTAAGCTGGAGAAGGTGTTGCCTTACATCCATCAGGGTTCCCATCTCACCAGAAAAACAACACAGAATATTAAAAATTAAGGCCCCTTGTGTCCGTGTTCTCCCACAGAGAGCATTATCACACCTCTGTGGTCACCCTGTCCTTCGTGCTTTGGTCTTAATGGTGTTTATCACATTGCACCCAAGTACCTAAGACCATACTTGGAACAGAGGACATCATCCTCCCCCACTTGGACAAGGCAGAGAATTCCCTCCTGGAGCATCAAGTTATGTCTGAGCAAACAGCTGCACTGGATGAACTGTGCCTGTACTACTGGAGCTGAAATAAAGCTGGAAGGTGCCCAAATGTCCTGTTGTGACACATGGCTGCTGATGACACATGAATGCTGGTGACACAGGGCTGAGCTGCCATCACTGGTACCCTTCTCACAGAGCAAAGAGCACCTTCATTCCGTGCTGTGCCTCCACTGGCTGTGTATGGATGATGCAGGGGAGAGTTGGAGCAACCAGAAGCTTCTATCCCAAGGTTAAAGAGCAATCCCTAACGAGGGAAGCACTGGGGACACTGATCAAACTTGCCCCGCTGAACCTTGCCACATATCCCAGACATAGCATGGGATTCAGGAGTTTTAAATCAGAACTGATATATAATTCCATATAAGTAATACAATTACTTATAAGTAATTGTAATATAATTATAAAGACAAAAATAATATATGCAACCATATTATTATATAGAAACATGTTATGTATAAATAGACATGTATTTTATATAAATATACATATAAATTGAATATAAATTATAAATAAATCTCTAGTAATTACAGGCAGGCTGAACCCTTACCTGGTGTCAGAGAACTCCAGGTTGATGACATTAAGGACTCTTTTCCTGTTTGTGCTGTAATAGTAATCCACAAATTCCTTGAGCTTCATCTTGCAGTCCTTCTGCTTGGTGACATCAGTGACATCAACACTCCGCTCCGGGCCTGCACACGAATCCAATGAAAGAGAGAGGTTGATGGGCAGCCTGCCTTGCCCCATTTTCTATGCTGAGGGGTGAGTTAATATGTCCAAAACCATCCCAATCTCCTGATTTTCTGATCTTTTCAGCCCTTGTACCCTCCCTGTTGTTTATGTATGCACCCACATAGACATACATGCATGAAAAACATGAAATATCCATAAAACTTTTGTAGTCATGTCCCTGACATAATTATTCCTGTAGCTTCTATCTTTAAAGGATTAATATTATTTTGGATATATTAATTTCATTATGGATTTTATTTGCTGAGTGAGATTTAAATGCAAATACCTTTGTATCCTTGGAGCAAGCCCTCCCCACCATGTTGTAAAGGTCCTGTGATTGCAGACAGGGTGTAACACTATACTACTACAAGTATTACTATCACAATACTGTACAAGTGCAATATCTTCACCAACTGACTTTCCAGAATTCCAAATTCTTTTATGTTCTATTTTAAATTTTTCCTTACAAAACCTACAAATCAACAAGGAGTTCCCTTTTCTTACCATGGTATTTCAGGCATACCACCAAAAAAAAATGGCCTTTTGTTATTTTACCCAAAATTACACATCAAAAACCCATCCCCTCTGCATCAGAGTACAGGGATGATCTACTAGTCCTTACACATTTCCTCTGACAGACCTTGTGGGATACAAATCTCTGATGTTAATACTAACAGCATCAGTTAATCAGTGGATTTTACACTGGGCAAAAAGAGAACACACAGAGAAAGGCAGAGCTTTTTAAAGACATTCAGAGCTTTTTAAAGACATTAGGAAGGGAAAAAATCAATTTATTTTTCATGAAATGCCAGAGTATAACAATGTCTTTGGCAGTCTCATTTGTGGTGGTTTGTCCTCTGCTCCTTCAGGCTGTTTCTAAAAGACATTCCAGGTCCAAGGTAATTAAGTACAAACCAACAAGATAAATCCCTGCTTGGGAAATCCCACTTCAGTGAGCAGACCCCAAAGAGGTTGGACCAGCACAGATTTGTGCCCCTCACTCAAATGTGGTGCCAGCTCAGATTAAACAACCCATGTTGTTCCCTCCAGCTTTGGACTAACAGTCCTGCTGGTGGGGGGGATGATTTCAGCTGGAGGCTGAGAGAGCTCCAGCAGACGCCCAAGGAGCACCTCAGGCACACGAGAACATCTGCTGAGCGTAGCAGGTGGGCACAGAACATATGTTTCCTGTAGAAGCAAGGGAACAGAGGTAACAATAACATCAGGAGTCTTGTATTCCAGGCATTGGAACTGGCTGCCCAGGGCAGTGATGGACTCCTCATTCCTGGAGGGATTTAAGAGCCCTGTGGATGTGGCACTTGGGGATGTGGGTTAATGCTGGCCTTGGCAGTGCAGGGGGAACAGTTGGACTCAATGATCTTGGAGGTCTTTTCCAAACTGAATTGATACTGTGATTCTGTGATTCTCCTTTATTCACTGTTTTCTCACTGCAGATCCGACAGTTACGGTCAAGAGCAGCAGTGGCTGGTCATGGCACCCTCCAGACCGGGGAATGGTCAATGTTTGGGTAAGGGAGTGCAGGAGGGGGTGGTTAGCAGGCTGTGGAAGAAGATGAAGGGACCATGAAACACAGATGGATCCACTGGAGCTGCAGTCATGGCTCCAAAGAGACACTGCCTTGCCAGAAGACTGGAAGGAGAGAGACATGGATGAAGGACAGAGCACGAGAGGACAAGAGACGAGACACACGTGCTAAAGGAAGAATTATGTGGAGACAAGTGACTTTAGAGCCCTTCCATGGCTTCTAGTCAAGGTCTGTTTTCCCAGGTGGGATGAGGTGATGGCTTGTGAGAAGATGCAGCACAACACCCTGCTCAGGGTAGAGATGGGAGAATGCCAAGAGAATCCAAATGACCAGCAGCACTGAAAACAGCTCTCACTGGCATCACTGCTAAAACACGGGCTGCCTGGGCAGAGGGAGCTGCAGTGTAGCTGTTCTTTCAACACAAAGCAAGCTGGCAGTAATCAATGAAGTCCTGGCCTCCAGAAACCATTTCTTGATCCTGCTGTGGCTGTTACTTTTAGTGCAGAGCTATGGAGAGCAGTGCAGCCTGGCTCAGCCCCAGTGCCAAGCTGGTACACTAAACAACAGCGAGTTCATTGCTAACTACAGGCTCCCACTACATAACAAACACTGCAGCCAGCACAGCCAGGGCACAGACAATATTTTACAATATATTTTACAATTTTTTATACAATTCATGGGTTATTATTTTAAAAGCAGCAGTGGGCTCCAAGCAGCCCAATGCCACCTGCTCTCCCAGGTACCCACCGACGTAGTTTTCGACGTCGCTGACGTAGAAGGTGGGAGCGGGCACAGCCAGGCCCAGCCCGTCCTTCTTGGGCACCAGGATGGGCTCTGCAAAGCCATTCTCTTCCAAATACTCTGGTGTTAGCTGGCTGCCTGGGACCTTCACCACAATATCTTCAGCACTGGAAAAGCAAACAGAGGCAATGGTGAGGGGCTTCCACGCTCAGATTGGGATGATCTGCATGCCACTACTGAAAGGAAGGCAATATGGATAAGGAATTACATACAAATTAGGCCCATAAGCCAAAAGCCAAAAAGTCATATGTTGCAAAGCACAAAGAGCACAACAGAATCATCCGGAATCAATGTCTTGAGCCTCATGCTCCAGCTACTGGGAACTCCTAAAATAACAGCTTGTGGCAAAAAGCTGTTTTCTTCAGCTGTAGGATCTGTTGAGCTACTGGTGATCAATGTTAAAGGAATTAGTGTTAAATGTTCCACTCTAAAGAAGGTAAGACTAAAAACATTACCCAATATCAAATAAATTGGGCTGGAAATACTTTGCAAATCATTTTAAAGAAGTTGAATAAATTGCTTGGGAAATATTCTGCAGATCATTTTGAAGTGGCTGGGAGGGCTCCAAGGGGAATGAGGAAAGGGAAGCTCCATTGGCCCACCAGCTATTGGCACTGAGAGCTCCCAGGGGAAATTCAAGTCTGGTTTCTTGATCTTTTCAGGCGTGAAAAGTGACTGTACATGAAGGACCAACAGTCCCAAAAGTGTCCTGTCACCATGTGCTGTGTGTCAGCTGGGAGCAGTCAGACTTTGAAGGTTCTCCCCAAAAAGCCCTTCCTGCCCAGGCAGGTAATGCCAACGTCTGAGTGCTCTCCTGCAGCAGTCCTGTGCTCCAGTTCACATCTCCATACGGCACCAAAATGGGCAGGAAAGAGGACGAGCCTGGATGTGCTGTCGTGGCTGCTGCCACGCTTGAGCTCACCACCTTCCCCACCCCGTGACACCCAACCTGCCACAGAGACCCCACACCCTCCTCTGATCTCACCAGGCAGGGTAGGGGAACCCCTCACCCTGTGCCTGCTCACAGAATTCCAGAATGGTTTGGGTTGGAAGGGACCTTAAAGCCCACCTTGTTCAATCCCCCCTGCCATGGGCAGGGACACCTTCCACTAGCCCAGGTTGCTCCAAACCCAATCCAACCTGGCCTTGGACACTTGCAGGGATTGGGCAGCCACAGCTTCTCTGGGAAACCTGTGCCAGGGCCTCACTACCCTCACAGAGAAGAATTTCTTCCCAACATCCCATCTAACCCTGCCCTCTGGCAGTGGGAAGCTGTTCCCCCTTGTCCTGTCTCTCCGGGCCTTTGCTGAAAATCCCTCTCCAGCTCTCTTGGAGCCCCTTTATGCCCTGGAAGGGGCTCTAAGGTCTCCCTGGAGCCTTCTCTTCTCCAGGCTGAGCACCCCCAGCAATCCCAGCCTGGCTCCAGAGCACAGGCACATGGCTTCTGTATGTGCCACAGAACCCACACATCATTTTAAAGAGAGATCAGTACCCAGAGCAGGCAGCAATGATCAGAGCAAAACGAGAGGCTGGTACCTATGCTGAAGCATCAATTGAATTGTTTACCCCTACTACTACTGCTACTCTAATGCTATTTTGGTATTAAACATTCCAGAGCAGAATGGCAATAATTATATTTTTTGCCTTTTTGCTTTCTTCACTGTTCCTTCTGACCCAAGCCCCTCCGGGGGACTCACCGGGGCTCGTCATTCACCGCCACGTGCTGGGAGTCAGGAACTGGTCTGAGACCCCCTTTCTCCTTTCACCCTGACTGACGAGTGCTGGGGTTTGGTCTGGGCACCTGCACCTGCACCTGCACCTGCACATCTCACTCGTTTTCTTCAGAGGAGACAATTTCTCCAAAAGACTTTGTGTCACTGATGGCACAAGTGTGGGTGTCAGAGGCCTCATCTTGCAACCACTTCTTCAGACTACGACCCTTCTGTCTCAGAAACTCTAATTTGGCAGCAGGATTTTCTTACACCCACATTAATGGGAGAAACAAGGACAAAATTTGGGGGGTTATGGTATTTTTTTTTTTTACAACTTGGGAGAGACTCAGAGATATTGTGTGTGTGAGTGCAGTCTCAGAGGCCACCCGAGGTTACTGAAATCAGTCTGCCTGGGCCTTAAATCTTTTACTAAATGAGCTTTGCAACCTGTCAAATCAAAAAAAAAAAAAAAGAAAGAAAGAAAGACAAACTGTTAAGACAAAGATCTTGCAGGCCCCAATAACAATAGCCAAGCCAAGCAAGTAAAAATACTGGATCCTGAGCTCAGTGAGACACATCTGTAAGAGCTGCAAAACACTTCAGAATTATTTTCAGTTTCTTCCTTAACCAGCCCAAGACCAGTATCTCAAATTAAATGTGAAATTAAATTCTCCATAAAAAGGAAGCAGTTTTGTGTTTATCAAGTACACTTTGCCAGTCTCCAAGGATTCTTCTAAAATAATTAGTTATTAATAATTAAGGATTTATTTGGCTATGGTCTACATTAAAGAGCCAGAAGAAAATGATCACTCTTGCAAATGGCTGTGGAGCAGCCTAATAACGTGTGGGACATGTCACCCAACAATTAGCACTATTCATTACCCCAGTGAGAGAGCCTTTGTCACCCAGAAACTGAGCATGTCGTTGTTCTTTCCAAGATGGAGACAGACTTCAGCAAAGTCATTAGGATTTTTGAGAACTGGATAATTCAATGCAGTAAGTGGGTTAGTCTCTTGTGCAAGTGGATGTTCTAGGGGTCAAACATGCTCTGGTTCAGCCTGGAGGAGAGAAGGCTGTGGGGAAATCTTAGAGACCCTTCCAGTGGCTAAAGGGGGTTTATAAAAGAGAGGGAGGGTGACTTTTTACAGGGGCAGACAGTGATAGGACAAGGGGGAACAGCTGTAAACTAAAAGAGGGCAGGGTTAGATTAGATGTTAGGAAGAAATCCTTCCCTGTGAGGGTAGGGAGGCCCTGGCACAGGTTGCCCAGAGAAGCTGTGGCTGCCCCATCCCTGGAAGTGTCCAAGACCAGGTTGGATGGGGCTTGGAAGATGTCCCTGTCCATGGCAGGTGGTGGAATGAGATGGGATTTAAGGTCCCTTCCCACCCAAGCCTTTCTGTGATTCCATGCTTTTTGCCTTCACAAATCCAGGCACCTATAGAAAACCACAGGACCTGGGCTCAAGCAAGAGGAGATCTGAATACAGCTGCACAAATATAAAAAAGGGAAGAGCCTGGGACATCTGCAATCAAACAGCACTTGTTCAGACATCATCATTCCATGATGCTTTCAGCCAGGCCCACCACCAGCCTCCCAGGACAGTGGCTGTACAGGCATTGCCCCCCCAGCCCATTCCAGCTGAACAACCCACCTGGGAAACGTCCGACTTCGGAGCTCTTTTATAAAGACCTGGCTCCCGTTCTGCACAGGCTTCACCTCTGTTGTCTGGCCAGTATCATGCTTATGCCAATTTCTTTTCTTTTTCACTGAAAAGGAAGGAATTGGACAGTTGTGTTAAGTAGAAGATAATTACTAAAACATTGGCAGGAACGACAAGTATTGGTTTAATTTCTCACGTGAGCAGAGCAGAGGGAACCCCCCCAATGCTGCACTGCACATTCTAATATTGCTCTCAGTGCCCCATCAGACAATTCCAGTGCTGCCTGGAGATCCACCACAGCATGAGCAGTGTGTGTGTGTTTTGGAGCACAAGGGCAACCGGACAGGGAATTGCTGAGCTGCACAGCTCCTGCAGGCATCGTGCAAACATGGGCTCTGGACGCCCCGGGCTCGCCAGCCTGCACACTCCATTCTCCTCAGGAAACTCCCAGAAAGCCCCTTTCCTCCACATGCAGAGTGGATCTTTGTCAACATATTTGTCAGGAATTACCTTAGACTAAAGATCTGTCCACCTGTGGCAGATTTGACATCAAGTTTGATGGGTGTTGAGCTATGCCCTGGACACAGCATGGATGGGGAAAGGGAGGAGGAGAAGGAAAGGGAAAAGGGGAAGGAGGAAGGGAGAAGGGGAGGGAGAGGAGGGGAGAGGAGGAGAGGAGAGAAGAGGAAAAGAGAAAAGGCACCACAACTGCAATTGTTAGAACCCTTATTCCCAGGATTTAAAGGGAAGTTATTATGGCTCAGGCCTGCAGCAATGACAGACTGAGGCCCCTCCACTGTGCTCCCAGTGGGGGATGGACACACAGGCAAGTCCATCATGGATAAAGGGCCAGCAGGAATAAGCACATATGAGTCAGTCAAGTGTAGATGGTTCTGCCCTGTCTCTGACAGCCGGATATCACAGAGCTGGAAAAACTGGTCCCACTTTTTCCCTGAGTCAGCACTATCTCCCTCAGCTGTTCCCACTCATTTTGGTAGGAAATTGTTTTTTTCCATATTCATATAATTTAAAGCCTCTGTTAATAGAATTTTCATGTCACAACATACTTATGCTTTCCACCCTTGCTTTACATCATGAATCTCAGTATTTTACCCCAAGTCCAGACCTCTTACCAAAACAGTGAGGGAAGGCAGCAGAATCCTCACAGATGGCACCTGCTCCTCACTCTTTGCACACACACACACACACAGAGAGAGAGATCCACACACTTTTCCATTAGGAAAGGAATCTGGAGGCCACAGCTATAAGACATGAGATTTGGAAAGAGCTAACTTTGCTTTCCTGACCACAATCCTGGAATAACTCAAGGAAAGATATCTCCCAGTGAGTCCATCCCGGGTTTTGCACAAAGCATGTTGGGTTTATTAGTTCCATGCAGGCTCCAGCCTAGCTGGAGATATTCATTAAAGCTGCTAGTTCTTTATCTTAATGACTCTCAGGCTTAGTGTATTAATTCAATGCTCCTGGTAACAAAGGAAACAAGCCTGGCTTGAATGCCAAACCTTCCTCCTCTCCCTCCCTTTCCAAACACCGTCTCCTCCCCCTCCCAGCACATAGGAATCAACACCAGGAGCGTGTTGATTGCACTTGCACTCTGAGTGCAAGTCCCAGGGAAAGAGGTGTCACTTATCACAAGGAAAATTAAGGAGCTTATCCCATGAGCATGTTTTTTATTACACCTCAGATAGCATGGAGTGTCGGGAAATAAAAGCGACAAAGCAGAGCTGAATTAGGGGATTCACTGCAACTCTTCCAAAACCTCCAGGAAGCTATTTCCCTCAGCACAGAGTGCTGGCAGGCATCCACCTCTCCCATTTACCTCTCCCACCCACCTCTTGTATCCACCTCTCCCATGCACCTCTTGTATCCCCCCCTGCCACCCACCTCTCCATTCCCCTCTCCCTCAGAGGCATCTCAGATGAACATTCTCCAGGAGGGGCTGTGTCCCAGACAGCTGCAGTCCATTATACTACATCAAACACTCTACCTTTGGCCTATTTTCAGCCATTCTTTCTGTGCTTCATCTTTACCATGATCACCCCAGCAAGGACTAAAGGCCCATTCCCATGTGCAACAGATTCCAGCTTTGGCCAGAAAAGCTGCTTTTTCAGAAATGATCACAGAGTTCTCTCTCTGCAGAACTTTCTGATCCAAATTTGACCTTTGGAAAGTCCAACAGTGGAAAAAAGGGAATATATTTTTATGAAAACTGTATCTCAAAATTAAAAATTCACAGGTATATTTATTTTATTTCAAATGTCTTAGTGTAGAAGGGATCATGACATTGAATGCTTAGGAAGCATTTCTTCACTGAAAGGGTGGTCAAGCATTGGAATGGGTTGCCCAGGGAGGTGGTAGAGTCACATCTCTGGAAATGTTGAAGAAAAGGCTGGATGTGACACTCAGTGCTCTGGTCTAGTTGACAAAGTAGTGACTGGTCAAAGGTTGGACTCGATGATCTTGAAGTTTTTTCCAACCTAAATGATTCTATGAACCTTCCACTAGACCAGGGTGCTTCCATTAGAGCAGGGATACCCAGAAGCACGCTGTGAGTTCTCTACTGATCTATATTAAAGTTTGTAACTACTTAAAACACGCCTCAGTCTGACTTTGGTTCAGTTGCAGCTCTGTAACTTCACCGATTCCAAAGGATTTCTCCTGATTTTCACCGCTGCAAACACGGCAGCAATCAAACCAAGCATTTCAAATTGTGTTATGAAAATGAGCCAAGCCTGCCCAAATGAAGCCCTCACATTTTATTGCAATGATGTCAGAAAATGTTGTATGAATATGGATGATTTTTCCCAAAGAGGGGTCCCTACACATTTCATTAAAAGGGAATAGCTCAAAATGCCATGTGACAGGAAACAATCTTCTGAGAGCAGCCACTCACCACAGTGGTAACGTGGAAAAATGTAAGGAGAGGAAAATGATTTTTAAATTTGACATCTGGAAAACATATCTGGCGGAAGGCGTGCTCCAGAAATACACATCCATTTTTAAATCCAGACGAGTTGCATAACAGACAATCGGTGTCTGCGTTTCCCTTTGCTAATCTCGCAATAATTAAATCCTACCGGTGAACTCCAGGTGCTGGAATGACTCTTCCTCGTTTATTACAAAGCTGATAGTGCTGGATAACGAGTTTAAACATAGACTGGGGCAGTTCATAAGCAAATGGAAGCGATCCCCCCGCAGACTGTCCCGGCAGTGCCCTGCATGCAAATTCCCAGCAGATGGAATGCACTGAGCCAAGCTGGTCCTGCCTTCATTTCATCTGTCTTTTAACTTCCCTGGCCTGCTGTACCCTGCAAGGAGGGGCTACAGGATAACAGCCTCCTTTTTCCACAGGATTCTACAGGTTAGTGAGGGAATTGCTATGCAGCTTGTGACTTTGTCTCCAGGACTCAAGGTAAGGTTAGCACTAATTAATGTTTAAATGGAATTTGTGCACTCCACTTCTTTGATGATTGGTCTCACACATGGTTAAACTGCCTGTGATGTATTCGAAGGGAGAAAACAAAGTGGCATTGCTGTCCTGCAGGACAGGATGTTGGTCTGTGTTCCCACCACACTGGATCCCCAGCAGCATGGGCAGCAGGTCAAGGGAGACCTTGTGGGACCCCACCTTCAGAGCTGCCTCCAGCTCTGGGGTCTGACATCAGAAGGACGTGGAGCGAGTCCAGAGGAGGCCACGAAGATGCTCTGAGAGCTGGAGCCCCTCTGCTCTGGAGCCAGGCTGGGAGAGCTGGAGAGGGACTTTCAACAAAGGCCCAGAGAGACAGGACAAGGGGGAACAGCTTCCCACTGCCAGAGGGCAGGGTTAGATGGGATGCTGGGAAGAAATTCCTCCCTGGGAGGGTGGGGAGGCCCTGGCACAGGGTGCCCAGAGAAGCTGTGGCTGCCCCATTCCTGCAAGTGTCCAAGGCCAGGTTGGACTGGGTTTGGAGCAACCTGGGCTAGTGGAACGTGTCCCTGGGATGGAGGAGGGTGGAACTGTGCTCCAGCAGCAATTTCTGCTGGGCTGTGTGACGCAAGCTCAGGGACGTACCAGTGGATTTTTATTTGGATAAAAAGAACTGGAGAGACAGAAACCTTCTTAAAAGCATCAGAATATTGTTGTCCATTCAACTCTCATCATCTTAACTGGTATATTAAACTTGCAATCTTTTTATCACAACTGCCATTTCTTGAATTCTAGGATGACACACCCCAGTTTTATAGAATTGATATTCAATTCCTGATTATAGGCTTTTGCTGCTTTTGTCTGGGTTTTTTCCCTCGCACTGAAAAGTGCCTTTCATCCTTCATAATTCAACATGATGTGAAGGAAATCAAAGTATCAGACTCATCTCAATGTTATACAGAACTCACAGAGGCTGGAGATCCTGTGCTGCTGCTTCTGTCCCAGGTCAGCAACAGCCTGGGAGCATCTGCAGTCACCCCCCCTTTTCAGCACAACCCTTTCCAATCCCAAATTACTTACTTCAATACGATTTGTGGTTATTTGTGTGACCAATTTCCAGAAATCTTCCAACAAAAACTAGAAAAGCTGATTCTTCTAAACCAGAACATTTTGTAGGGACATATTGATTTCATTAAGTCTTTCAGAGCCAGCCTCCCAAGGGGCATTTTGCCAGCTTCCCAGTTTGTGGGTTCCCTGTTCAGACCCCAGTTGTTGGCAGACCCTCTGGGAGACAGGAACAGCTGCAGGTCATTCAGGTTTCCAGTTCACACTTGACTTTTAAAAAATCATAGTGGAAAAACAATTCCCATTTTTGCCCACAAAGCAAACATTTCGGGCTCCTCCCCTCTCCCTTTAGAAATTTTTTTAAACTTTAACAAGTAAGGCAATGCACAAATAATTTCTTGGGTTACAAATGCTGAATTTTAACACAAAAGGAGTCACTTTCCAGCCATCCCTTAATTCATACTGAAAAAGGGACTGTTAGGATTCCTTCGGCTCCTGCAGATGAGCACCCAGTTCTTCCTCTGCAGGATGCCCTGAGGTTGCAGAGCAGCAAGACCCTCCCCATCACTGTTGCTTATTTACAATAACTGGTTTTCAAGTGAAGCATTTCATCTTTCACAGGGATTGGTTTCTTTCCTTTTTTTTCAGCCATTGTATAATAGAAAGAAATTGTGAATTAATCTGACCAAAGCAAACACATCCCACGGTTCTTTCCCAGACAAAACTCCCACTGAGATCAACTGTCACTTTTACTCAGGAGAACCTTCTGTGAAAGAACTGCAAGAATTGGCACCCTCAGTGCATCCTACAAGTTTGACTGCCACAGAAATCCTGCAGTTCTATATCCAGGCCAAGCACAACAAACTGTTTCTTACTCTTCTCATCCACAGACGGAAAACACCATGTAGCTTCCAAAACTCCCTGTATTAGCACTAGCTGCCTCCACAGGGATTTTCTAGCCCACATTCTTCAGTGTGGGCACAATTCATGCATGGAAGGATGCTCATTTTCTTGTGGGACCGGGGACTGCAGCTCTCCAGGTGAGTGCCTTGCCTGAGCTCACACACGCGCCTGAGGACACGCAGAAGCTGTGGCCAAAGCTCCAAGATCCAACCCACGATGTCCTCCCACTAACATAATTTTCACCTCCTGGTTTGAATTCCAATATTTATGGCACATGATACTTAGGGCCTTTTGCAATGACAAAAATAAGAGGTCCTTTTGTCCAAACACACAGCCCCTGCTGTGTGTCAGGGCCTGGCAGCACACGGGTACTCACAGGTCGACTTTCCGTGGGTTTTCTCACAATTTGGGCAATGATAGATGTCGATATCTGGTGCCTCTTCCTCTTCCACACCGACACAACTGGAATAGAAGAAGGTAAATATGACATTAGCTCAAGTCCATCTCGAAGCACACAATTAACAAGGAAAACGCTGTGCATTTGCCACTTGCCAAGGGCTCCATCGAAACCAGGTTTGGGTGCATTGTACATTGGTACCAACAAGGGGTTTGTAGCCTACACTCCTGATGTGGTGCTACAAAAGCTGTCAGCCAGAAGCCACCACCAGTCCACTGTGGACCTCCATGAAAATACGGCAGAGTGTCCCACAGAGTGGGTTTTTTGCCAGGGAGACCATTTTGTACCCACACAGAGTTTTCCCAGCACCATCCCACATAAACCTGATGAACAAAACACATCTTCTCTTCACCAAGCATGTGTGGGCAGCTGCGAGGTACCGGCGTGACCTTGGCAAGAGATACCACGTGCACAACTTCCATAGGTTCCACCTCTGTTCCCATGCGGGAAGATGAGGAGGGAAAGAAGACACACAGCTCAGCACTTCTGGCTGCCAAGGGGATGGGCTGTGTGGGGATCCCACCGGGATCACTCTGGGTGGCTCGACCCAGGCAGCATCACCCGCAGCCTGGGGGCACAGGGCATGGGCACAATCCAGTGGGGAACACAGTGCTTGGGAGGACTGAAACCAAAGAGCAAAGTGCTGAAACACCCCAGGACAAGAAGCTGCTGCACGGTCCAAGCGCCGAGCAGCCTCAAAGAATCCGGGTCCAGCACAACACTGTTCCTGCTGTGGAGGAAGAGCAAACAGGACTCTGCTCCTCTGTCGGGAGTAGCCCAGGCTGCAAGACACATTTCCAGCACAGAGAAAAGGGTTCAGTGGGGTGCTGTGAGATGCAGCCCTTGTGCCATGGCTCTGTGGGAGCTTAGCTAGGCAAGAGCACCCACAAGACACACAAAAGCACCCTAAGCCCCAATACGAGCAAGTCTGGATCACACCAAGAGCTCTCCAGGGGTTTCTCTACCACCTGAAATGCCTCCTTTGGTTCTCTGCAGTGAGCACAGTGCACCTCTCAGTGCTCCTCAGCCAGCAGAGAACACTGACACAGCTCTTCTGCCAGGGAAAGGGCTTGGGCAGGGGTCATGCAATGCAATCTTCATGCATAAGGCCATGTTCTGCTTCCTGGCATCCCACCAGCAGTGCCAAGAGGCAATGAGTGCAGAAATTCAAAGTGTTTAGCTGCTGTTTCTGCCCTGTAGGAAACAGAGCAGAGGATGGTTGCTTCTCTCCCCCAGGCCAGGCAGCAGGGTGGGCTGGTTCTATCACATGCTTCACAGAACCTCTCAAATCATTCTCACCCTGTGCAAGCTCTGCAGGACAACAACAACGTGTCCAAATATGAGTTCAACAACTGGAGAAATTCGTATTGTGTGGACGCACCAGCAGCACCTGGTGATGGTCCAGATGCAGGGAGGCTGTGACCTTCTGGCTGCTGGCAGGCAGGAGGGTGCAGTGATGAAGGAGGGATAACCCATGATCATGCTCCCACCTCTTCCATAGAATGCCTGTGACCCCCCTGCCTGGCTCTGTGGAGCCCAGGGTTCTTTGGTGCCCTCAGCAGGGTGTGCAGGGGTACATGAACCAACACGTGCACACCTGGGGCAGGGGGGCAGCCGTTAAAAAGCACTGAGACCCCTCACTCCCAAAGCTCTGCTGACCCCGAGGCACACGGGGATGTGTAACATCCCCATCACAAACCACAGACACACCTGCTGCTACAGAACAGCATCAACAAAGCCAAAGCTGCAACCAAGCTGGGAAAGGCCAAACTAGCTAAGATACAGAAACACAGCCTTTTTATTACCATCGTAAATGTTTTGTCAAAATAAGATCCTGCCAGAAACCTTGTTGGGTATGGTCCCCCTGTTGCAGCTGCCAGTGTGGGAGCCAGCTCCCTCCAAAACAAAGCTCAGGCTGAGAGAAGCTCTGCAACCAAAGCCAGAGACTCTCTCGTCAGTGTAAGTCCAGCCTGGAAACAGGAGTCATTATTTCAGAAATGTGTCAAAGCAACTGCAGATTTGGCTGCTATTTTTCATTAAACAGTTAGTTGAAAAAAATACAGAATTGTTGTGTGTCCCTGGGCAGACAGCACGGAAAACTGAAGTTTGCAGACAGGAAAAATCATCATCACAACAGCCCAGTCCTCAGAGTGCAGTACATACAGAGAGAAAAATATCAGATTAGTAGGAAATACCAGAAAAATTAGCAGAAAAATACCAGATTAATCAGCAGAAAATTTAAACAAACCCTGGTAGATTAGAGCCAGAGTAAGAGAATGTAGAGGATTCCTCTACCCACAAAGCTGTGTCAGCTGCTTTTGCCACTGGATTCATCTTGCTAAGCTCGGTAAAGGTATGGATTAGGCTCTCTACAAGGGCTTGAAAAGCCTATATTTAGCTAAAGCAAGGAGATGAGCCCCTTGGGCACTGGATGGGAGGAGGTTTGACCAGCTGTGGCACAGGGCGATGGCTGCAGTGTGGTGGGAGCCATTGTTCTGAGAGCGAGTCAAACATCTAACAAGAACAAGGCAGAGAAGTAAAAATAACTGACCTCAAACTCCAGCGGGCCCCTAGAACACACAGTCAACTTTTCCAGCTCCAGCACAGCTCTGGAATAAGGTTTGGCCACTTACAGCTGCTTGCAGGCAGAAGCTGCTGCCCTCAATGTGCAGGAAACTGGGAGTGTGAACTGTCCAAGGGATCCCCTGACTGATCTGCCTCAGGGATCTGTAGCCAGAATATCCACCCATTCCAGCCTCTGCCCCTCTTCTCAACCAGCAGAGCTTGGCTCACCAGGTACTGCCAGCAGCAGGGCTGTTGGTGGCTTCCACATGGAGATAGGCACAGGAAACTGAATTTCCATAGTTAAAGCCAGACTGCCAGAGAGCCCCTCAAGACCGTTCCTGCCAGGAGAGAAACAAGGGTTTCCTGCCATCTGTATTGGGTTTATGTGGCAAGATTTGGGTGTCAGGGGGCCGTGACTGACCCTTGGGTTGGTCTAAGCATTTGCACCTGGGAATAAGAAACAGCAGGGGACTGCCAGCCTTGGTTGAACCCACATCCATTTTCTGAAGCGCCTCCTTCTCAATTTACTAGTGTGTTTTTTCTCAGAGTGGTTAATTACCAATAGAATAGAATCAAAGCATTTCTCTAGCTGAAAAAAACCAAGTCATCTACAGTGACTGAACAGTGCTGTCCTCCCCCCCAGCCCCTGAATTCCAGCACAAATGGCACTCTGTGGTTTGCATCTATTAGTTTTTTCCATGAGAACACACTGCTTTGGTCCCTCCAGCTTTTTTTCTCAGTCTCATTTGCCCAAGAGAAACACAAACAACCAAAAGACTTGAACCAAGCACTTGACTCCCTACAACGAGTCCAGAGGCAGCTGGTATGGGATCAGAGCCAGTGCGGGATCCAGGTGGTGTGCTCAGGATCCAGGCAGTGTTCTCAGGATTCAGGCAGTGTGCTCAAAATCCAGGCAGGGTGCTTGGGATCCAGCAGCCTTCTTGGAATCCAGGCAGGGTATTTGGGATCCAGCAGCCTTCTTGGGATCCAGGCAGTGTGCTCGGGATCCAGGTGGTGTGCTCAGGATCAACAGCAGCCTGCTCGGGAGCAAGATCCCACAGTGGCCCCACAACAACATCAGTGTGAGCCCCGGGTGTGTTACCTTTGTAAGGGAAGGACTGGGAAAAGCTCCCAGTAGCACTGCTGGGTGATTACTCAGATCCGCAGTGAGATGAAACCGGAGGTACAAGGGTCAGCAAAGGAACATTGAGGCAGAGCTGGCCAGGGACAGGCAGGGAGTGGGGGACATGGAGCAAGAGCAGGAGCAGGAAAAAGAGCAGACTGATCTGCTTCATTTCTACCAGGAGTCCAAGAATCCATTTCCAAAAGCACAGACACCCCAAGCCCGTGTGCTGACATCCTGGCAGGATCCTGCTCTGCTGCAGGAACTCCCAAGCTGAGGAGAGCTACACTTACACCTGGCAGTCTGTGAAGGAGATGGGGAAACTCATCCTGCTCTTTGCACAGCACAGGCACCATTCCGTGCTCGGAGGGGTGTGAGCACAGCCCAGGTGTCCCCCAGCAACATACTCAGGGCTGGATGTCTCTGACTCTGCATTATCTGCTGATGCTGCTTTTTCACCGTGTGACAGGGAAGGTGTCTGGCAGCACCAAACATGTCCCTGGAGAATGGACCACGTTCTCAAAGTGAATTAGAAGGAGAAAATTTTTCCGTGGTGAAGGATCGAATCATAGAGTCATGGAATTCTTAAGGTTGGAAAAGCCCTCAGAGATCAAGGAGTCCAATCACTCCCCAGTGCTGCCAAGGCCACCACTAACCCATGTCCCCCAGTGCCACATCTACATGGCTTTTAAATCCCTCCAGGGATGGTGACTCCACCAGTGCCCTGAGCAGCCTGTGCCAGGACTGGACAACTCTTTTGTGGGGAAATTTTCCCCAGAAAACCCTTCCCAGACATCCTGCAAAGCCCCACGCTCGCTGTCCCATCGGCGTTAACGCCGAGCAGTGCCAGCTGGGAACTGGGGATGAAACTGGTGTGGAGGGCAAGGATGTGGGATGCAGGAGCAGCAGCCACTACCACCACTCACAGCTCAAGAAACCCTTCTGTCCAAACCCAGCAAAGATGGCCTAAGAGGTTAATTATTGTGCATCCAGGAATGCCTTGTTGAAACAATTTAAACCAATCTAATGGTTGATTTTTAAATGGTTGTTAAGTGATTTAACTCAGGTTGAGGCAGTATAAAACTAATTTGATAATGAGATAAAAGGGAAACATTATTACCAATGTGTTTGAATTTCACAGACACTGTTGTAGGAAAAAAATAATAATAATAATGACAAGGAAAGGCTTTGATATTGCATCTGTTTAAGCTGATATCTCACCCATGTTACAGGGACTGAAAGGAGAATTAGCATATTAGAAGCTTTTGCAGTCAGAGGCTACAAATTACATTTTTATTAGAAACTCTACCCTTTGCCACTTTAAAATGAAATTGCTTCTGTGTTTGCAGTGAAGAGATGTTCAAGCTTCAGTATTCTGACAAAGTTAACAATGATTTTTCTTATGCAGGCAACAACAATAAAAGGTGCATGAATTAAACTGGTTTTATGGCATGAATGTTCCTGGGGTCCTTGATTTGCCATCTGCAGGGAGGTGGCATTTTATGTAGTTTTGGGAGAAAAATTAATTAATTGTTCTATCAAAACCATGTCATCTCCATTATCAACCAAAGACAAGTATAGAAAAACATGAAAAAATAAACAAGCAAAAGGCTCTTTGATGGGAAAGAAAATCAAACCTATGCATGCAGAAATAGAGCAGAAGGAAAAATAAGCTGAGACTCCAACTCCTGAAACCAACCAAAGCCACATGCTTTATCTGCTCCTGAGGACCATTCCAAGTAGGTGAAACACAGGGTGTCCAACCAGACAATGGGATTTGGAAGAAGACGGGAATGACAGGGGCTCCCCAGGATGCTCGGCGCCTGCCTGCTCCTGGGGGGAGGATGACACGTCCTTCACTCTGTGCTAAATGCCAAACACTGACCAAACAAACTGGGGTTGGATACTTTCCTTTGGGAATGCACAGGTATAGCCAACCTGCTGGATAACACAGCTCAGCATTCCTCTGGCAGTAACAACTCCCTGCAAGAGCAACTGAGTGTAGCAAAGGCGTAACAGCACTTTGTGTCGTCTCCTTTCAGTTGTGGACACGTCCCAATGTACCTTCAATGAGAAGCAGGCTCTGTACAAGAAGAGCAGCTATTCCCTATGGATATGATGGGAGTCCTCCAGCAGGTCAGCCTGAGTTTATTGCCCAAGCCAACAAAACCCAGCAGAGCAGCAAAGACACTAAGGGTTCACCAAAAGGATGGGCAAGTGCTGACACAGCTGCCCAGGGAAGTGGTGGAGTCCCCAACCCTGGAGGGATTTAACAGACATGGGGATGTGGCACTTGGGGACATGGATTAGTGGTGGCCTTGGCAGTGATGGGGAATGGTTGGACTCCATGATCTTTTCCAACCTAAATGACTCAATGGTCTTAAAGGGCTTTTCTGTCCTAAATGATTCCATAATTCTATGACCTCCAGTGGGAAGGAAGGGGCACCCTCACCCCCCTTCACAACTACATCCCTGGACTAGTTGTTACATTCTGTGTATTAAACTTGAATCCTATTTTCAACTTTTACCCCTTAACCAGAGGCATGTTGAAAGCTCAGGACATTTTATCACCATTAAAATTGACCCGTCAACTCTGATTTCACACAACCATGTGTCCCCTCTCCTTAAATAAGTCCAATTGCAAATCTCTTTTATTCCCAGAAACAAACTGGTATACCAGCATTGCATTAAGCCTTGGAAAGTGGTGATGCATTTCTCACTTTTCTCCTCCTCTCCTCTCCTCTCCTCTCCTCTCCTCTCCTCTCCTCTCCTCTCCTCTCCTCTCCTCTCCTCTCCTCTCCTCTCCTCTCCTCT